GATGTCATCGTCTTCGTCTGCGTTGTTGTCCGAAGACACATTGGTTTCTGGACAATAACTTTAGTCTATGTGAATGGATCTCTATGAAATTTTTTAAGAAGGTTCAATACCACAAAAGGAAGGTTGGGATTGATTTTGGGGATGATGGTCCCAACCGTTTAGGAATTAGGGGCCCAAAAGGGGCCCAAAACAAGCATTTTTCTAGTTTCAGGATAATAACTTGTGTATAAGTATTTCGATTGCTCTGAAATTGTACCACAATGTTTAATACCACAAGTAGAAGGTTGGGATTCATCTTAGGGTTTAATTGCCCCAAACATGTAGGAATAAGGGGTCAAGAAAGGGCCAAAAACAAGCATTTTTCTAGTTTCCAGACAATAACTTGTGTTTAAGTGTATGGATCTCTCTGAAATTGTACTGCAATGTTCCATACTACAAAGGAAAGGCTGGGATTGAGTTTTGGGGTTATTGCTCCAAGAGGGGTTTCAAAAAGTTGGATTTTTTTTCCAATTTTTTTAAGGGATTCATATTTTTTTTTCAAAATTTTTCAAATTTCGAATTTTTGAAAAGTTTCAAGAAGAAATCTTCAATTGCACAGTATTGCGCAATAGATTTGTAAGATCTTTGACCACATTTATTTTGTGTCAGAAACCTATATTATGTCAAAAATTTGATCACAATCCAAATTCAGACAGTATCAAGCTTGAATATTGTGTCCAAATTTGCCCAAACTGTTCAGGGTTCAACCTCTGCGGTCGTATCAGGCTGCGCTCAGCGAAGCATTTTATTTTTATTTTAAGAAGTTTTTAACTTTCCCATGTAATCATACACTTAATCATGTTCGATGATTGACTCTTATTTCTTTTGCAGGATGTAAGCTGGATGGCCCTGTAAAACATCATATGCTCCATGCTTTAAATAAATGAATGGTATTTAACCTAAAAAGATGCCAAATTGCCATCTATAGAACGATGATTATGTGTGTTTTACAAGTGTTTTGCAACCCCTGTCCCCCTCACCCTTTCAGTGACAGTGGTCTCGTATATATTTGAATCCTGAACATGCTGAATATGTGTTGGACTCCTTTATAGATCTTCAATGTATATAATACAGTTGAGTCAACAGACTGTTGGACTATCTGTTCGTCTGACTATTGGACCTGCAGACTAAAGGACTGTCAGGCTATTGGACTGTCAGAATTTAGGGGTGTTGGATTACAGCTACACATGTACATTGTATGCTCCCACCTCATGTCATGATAAGGGACCCAAAAAGCTATCCTACTTCTACTCACTTCTATGCTGTTGTCATCTGTAAATGTATATACTGTGTATATTAATCTCACTGTCAAATACAGAAACAATACAAACATAAAGACAATAAACTATACTAACACTATGACAAAGGGCACATCAACAGTCACCCAAATGACTTATAATAACCTCGTTTGGTAATAATTTCATCTGGTAACTAAGTCTGTTCATTTTAAATACCATAATGTTAAATAAACCTGATGAAAAAAATAACCAGCCAGCACGGTAAAATCCTTTTGGGATATATATTTAATAACCATGAAAACCCAAATTGGAGATAATTTTACTAACGGTATGCAAAAAATCTTAATATTTTATTTTAGCAAAAAATACTAAAAAATGCATTTGCTAAGTTCAATAGTAACTTTTGGTTTACATTTGGTAATATTTAAATTCACTTAAATCAGAAATAAAAAAAAAATTGTACAGTTGGAGTTATATTTTGTTTTTGAATAAAGGGAGACAACCCATGAAACATAAATTTAAACCTCTATGACATGTGTGAGTCAAAAGTAAAATTGTACTTATATGTATTTATATCAAGGGATGCTACTTATTTAGTGATTTTACTATCACTTATTTTATTAATCATTAATTGAAATGATTTTGATGTTTCCTTTGATATTCAAATACACATGAATACAGATTTCTTAAATTTTCTGCTAAATGACAAAATTTAAACATAAATCAATTATCCCTTTTTGTTCTCATACATTAATTTAAGCAGTTGCAAGACCAGTAAGTGCAATGTACCCTGGGGAATTATCCTGTAATTTAATATTCATTAACTACTCTATCACAAAGACACTGGTCACCAATTTTTAGTCTGACACCTGATTTGACTTATTTATTTTTAGAATGATTAGTTTTTGTCCCGATTTTCAAATGATTCCAGTTTATTCTTAATTCAAATAAATTGTAAAAACTGACAGGCAAATTTAGCAACAAGATAATTTCTATATTTTTAAAATTTTTATTTTTTTAAGGGAATTTTTGTTTTTAAAAAGTTAAATAAATAAAAAGAAAAAACTTGTGGCAAAAATATCAAGAAAACATTTAATATATTATTATCACTTATAATTAAAGTGCTTGAATCCTTGCTTCTTAAAAAAACTTTTTTTTTAATTTTCAGTTGTAAGTGCTTTGGTACTACATGTAACATGAATATAAGGTATACTTATTCAAAATTCTGGTTCATAAATTAAGAAATTATTTTATTATTTAAAGAAACTAATGTTCCAACTCCTTTGGTCAAGTTGACCTCAAATAAATTTGGCTATTCTGTAAAGGTACCTGTGGTGTCTTTCTCCATCTTGGATTTTGAATAGCAGATAACAATTTAATGAAATGTGCAAATTTCGAGAATAGTATGTAATTCATGTGTAAGACTTTTCATGTTAATATAGAAAATTATGTGTTTTATCATATTTTACGTCTGTATTTTGATTCAATTTTTTTCAACCGTGCCACATAAGGGGAGATAACTCACATAAAGTAACTTTTCTAATAGAATGTGTTATGAATTTACTTATTCTATGATGTACCGGGTAGCAAGAAAACGAGTTTGGTGACCCCACTTCTTAGCTCACCTGGCCCGAAGGGCCAAGTGAGCTTTTCTCATCACTTGGCGTCCGTCTTCCGTCGGTGTCGGCGTCGTTGTTAGCTTTTTACAAAAATCTTCTCCTCTGAAACCACTGGGCCAAATTTAACCAAACTTGGCCACAATCATCATTAGGGTATCTAGTTTAAAAAATGTGTCCGATGACCCCGCAAACCAACCAAGATGGCTGCCATGGCTAAAAATAGAACATAGGGGTAAAATGTAGATTTTGGCTTATATCTCTGAAACCAAAGCATTTAGAGTTAATCTGACATAGGGTAAAACTGATTATCAGGTCAATATCCATCTGCCCTGAAATTTTCAGACAAATCTGACAACCTGTTGTTGGGTTGCTGCCCCTGAATTGGTAATTTTAAGGAAATTTTGCAGTTTTTGGTTATTATCTTGAATATTATTATAGATAGAGATAAACTGTAAACAGCAATAATGTTCAGCAAAGTAAGTTCTACAAATAAGTTGTCATGACCAAAATTGTCAGTCGACCCCTTTAGGAGTTATTGGCCTTAATAGTCAATTTTTAACAATTTTTTGTAAATTTTTGTAATCTTTTACAAAAATCTTCTTCTCTGAAACTACTGAGACAAATTTAACCATACTTGGCCATAATCATTATTAGGGTATCTAGTTTAAAAAATTTGTCCGATGACCCAGCCTTCCAACCATCATGGCCGACTTGGTTAAGAATAGAACATAGGGGTAAAATGCAGTTTTTGGGTTTATATCTCTGAAACTAAAGCATTTAGAGCAAATCTGACAGATGGCAAAAATGTTCATCAGATTTAGATTTATCTGCCCTGAACTTTTCAGACGAATCCGACGACCCGTTGTTGGGTTGCTGCCCCTGAGTTAGTAATTTTACAAAAATTTTGCAGTTTTTTGTTATTATCTTAGATATCATTATAATATCTAATATCTAATACTATTAATTATGATTTTAACCTTATTTTACATGATTTCCAAAGCATCAGTAAATACAGGTGAGCGACACAGGCTCTTGAGAGCCTCTAGTTCTTTTTCTTATCTGAAAGCATAATATTCATGATATTAGAGCTATCTTCTAATTTTTTATCTTTAAATTCTATGGTTTAGTTTTCTTTTTATCACAAAAAATAGGGTTTTCCATGCATAATCTGTACAAAATATGACAATTTTGCACAATCTGTAGCTTAAAAAAAAGACCGGTGACCCATACTTTTTATTATATTTTTGAAAAAAGCATGACATAAACTACTTTTTGACAAATTATTAAAAAATTCTATGGATTTTAATTTAGACCCCCTATCCACCTTAATGTCATTTTAGGTCATATAGCTCCTAATGTTGCAGCGTATTTATGCATCCCTGGCTTTCGAATGGTTTCTGTGGAGGTTAATCCAGAAAATGACCTCAGACACACAAAACTGTAGTGTTTTTTTTTCATTAAGTGACTTTAAAGATCTTGTGTCAAATTTTGTTAACATTTTCAAATTTCAAATGCCATAAAAACCTGAAAAAATTTATCTTGAAATCATTTGTTTACAGGTAAGTAATACCCCTAACTGTTCAAAATATTTGGATCAGTACGCCAATGTTAAGTGGAAAACAAATTCTTTACCTATTGATTGTACTGAATATACCTAAACCTTTGCATAATTTTGAGATAACTAATAATTAATGCCAAAAACCATCTTAAAAATTCATTTTGATTAAAACAGCGGTAACTACTATCGAAGTTTTTACTAGAGCTTTAGTTGCCAGAGAACAAATTACACCAATGGCATATATACAAAAGGTCTATGGTTCAGTGTTAATGTTTTAAGTTAATTTGTACCACTAGAAATTTATAACGAGAATGAATAATTTACAGTTAAATCTACTGAAAAATTAGTCAATTGCACCACTTAAAATCTAGAAACTATAATAAACATACAGATCTAGACATCCTGAAAATTTTATATCATTCTGTTATTAAATGTGATAAACTTCATGAACTTATAACTTTTTAAAATAATTAAGAACAATTTCATCTACAAATCTTTTGTTTTGACCAAAATTGAAAGCATCTTTATTTTTTTCTTCAGATTATAGTTGATTGGTTTTAAATGATGTCAGTCCTGACAAGACAGATTTTGCAGCTGTGTTCTAGATGTCATGCTCCCATTATTACATCAGTAAAATTCATTCATGAGTTTGACCGCAAAGGGGGATATAACCACAGGATTGAACGTCCGGTCAAGGAGCGGATAAAAGAGGGTTATGAAATTTTTAAAAAAGACATCAAGGTTTTTGGTGAAGAAATGAAAGACAAATGGAGAGAAGATAGAATGCTTATAGCAAATCATAATGATTATGAATATTTTTGGAAATTTGATGGTGCTAAAACTTTAGAACCCTGGGTAGTTACAGCTGACAGAGACAATTTAGAAGGCTTTAGTAAGGCTGAAATGGCCCTTAGTAAGAATAACAAGGCCTTATTTCATGGATATTTATCTCAAAGACTTCCTAAAGATGGCATCCTTACAAGTACTGGATATGCTAATATGAGGTCACCTCTCAAAACGGTAGGTTACATTTACTTCTAGAGGTAGAATTGTTTGTTCAGGATTTTGGTTTTTGAGTCAACACTGAAAATGGTAGTTTGTAATTTCATGTGAATAATAACTACAGACTTTCATATACATGTATATATATATTACAACTTTCTTACTTCAAAAAGTTAATATTAGAAATTATCTCCCCTTTTCTCTGCTGCAAACAAATAAATCACTTCTTTTTGTAGCGATACGGAAATTCTAATAACTTATGATGCATAACATTCTCCGCAGAATTTTCTATTGATATTTTTCCACTTTAAAATTCTATCTTATACTTGTATAGTAACAGATAAAGATTTAGAATGCACACTTTAATATAGTTTAATCTATTAGTCAGGGGTACTTCTTGTACATGTAATCTTTATTTACTTGAAGAAGTAAATAATAATATACTTATATAAGGAAATTATAATGTTTGAATAATCTCCCCTTAATTTTCTAAAAAATTTACTTGTATAAAGAATTTTTTTTTATAATCCCGAAAAATTCTCAAGTTTTGAGATGTGAAAACATGCCTTTAACAATTTTTCTCAGGTTAGCTCATAATTTTTCATTAGAGTTCAATGTTTCATCTCATTAATTCAACAAAGAAACTAATTGCGCAAAGATCTTAAGTATTTGTGCAAGGCCTTCAAAAATGCCCCTTGGGGGCTTGTAAATGAGCAGTGTTCTAAAGATAACAGACAAATGAGATTTTCATTGTCCATGAAATTACACTTAAATGATTAGTAAAGACATCTGCAAAGGACAGAATTAAAAATTCTATTAGAGCAAAGAAGTCCTAAGAAATTCAAGAAAAGAAGATAGGATGACTTTTTTACTTGTATAAGTTAAAAAATCTGAATGTCTAAGGGACATAACTAAGCCAAAAAATAATTTACCTATACAAGTAAATAAAATACACTTGTATAAGTAACCTACAAATTTACTTATATAAGCATATTAATATTTACCTCTTCAAGTAAATAAAAATTACTTGTACAAGTTGTACCCCTGACTGTTTATTGATATTGAATTTTTGTAATGGTTTACTTTTTTCTGTCCTCACGACCCATTAATTATTATTTCTTTTAATGAATATCATAAATTTGAATGATTTATTCACCTTTTTAAATCTGATACATTTTGGGTAATATTTTCAAGTAATCAGTTAACAACACTGAACATTCTAAACAATTGTCAGAATAATTTTATTTTTGAAGTACAAGCAGTTAAATAACACAGTGAAATTCCTTGAAAAACCAGTAAAAATTTAAAAAATGTCTGTCCTTTTAGATTTGGCACGGACCATTCATCTTTTGTGATTACCAGTACAATGCAGAATGAAACCTTCCATGATGTGTTGTCTATTAAGAACAATACCATAATGTACACAGTGAAACCTGTGCAAGTCAAAACCCTACTTTTCCATGGTGGGATTGCAGTACATTTATGAGTACAGGAGTCGGTTTCACAAAAAAACTTACAACTAAGATTGATCGTAAGTATACTGAATTGTTCATGACTTACGATCAATCTTAGTTGTAAGTTTTTTTGTGAAACCGACTCCTGATATCTCTTCCTCTGCCCATTTATCTCACTTAACCCTTCAGTACACTTATAAAGGGGTTGAAGTTAAAAATTACTCTTGGAGTTGATTTCTCATAGCAAATACAAGTGATTATGGATGTTTCATTCTGCAATATCTCTCTGTACAATTATATGCAATAGATATTGATGAAATGGGTGATGATAAATATATATTCTTATTATTTTTAGAGATCATTTCAAAGACAAGAATCGTATGATTGGAGTATGTTTACTCATCTGATATTACGAGTGAGGGGAGATGGACGACCATATCAGTTGTGTATATTAATGCATAGATATTTTGATGTTCAATGGTTTGACATGTACAATTACACATTGTTTACAAGAGGAGGTCCTTACTGGCAGATAGCTAAAGTAAGTTCAAACACATTGTTTACAAGAGGAGGTCCTTACTGGCAGATAGCTAAAGTAAGTTCAAACACATTGTTTACAAGAGGAGGCCCTTACTGGCAGATAGCTAAAGTAAGTTCAAACACATTGTTTACAAGAGGAGGTCCTTACTGGCAGATAGCTAAAGTAAGTTCAAACACATTGTTTACAAGAGGAGGTCCTTACTGGCAGATAGCTAAAGTAAGTTCAAACACATTGTTTACAAGAGGAGGTCCTTACTGGCAGATAGCTAAAGTAAGTTCAAACACATTGTTTACAAGAGGAGGTCCTTACTGGCAGATAGCTAAAGTAAGTTCAAACACAACATTTATCGAAAGGATAAAATCTCTAGCTTGATTGTTTTAGCTAAAGGTTGAATTACTAGCTTGTTTGTGTTGAAGTTTGTTGTTTTATTTTTTTTTGTGAGTACTTATTTTTCTGGATTAAGGAAAAATTGTATTTTTGTGGATATTTGATTTCGTGCTTTTTCAGAAGTTGGCATGCAAGCTTAAAGGAAATGTGCATTTCATTGAACATTTTAATTCGTGGTACGAAATTCACGATTTTTGGTATCCAATGAATAAAAATGAATCCACAGAATTTAATTTTATAAAAATAAGATTTGGTATGATTGCCAATGAGACACCTCTCCACCAGAGACCAAATGACACAAAAGTTAACAACTATAGGTCACTATACTGCCTTCAACAAATGAGTAAAACACATACCGCATAGAAAGCTATAAACATGATAAAAGGCCCTGAAATGACAAATATAAAACAATTCAAACAAGAAAACTAACGGCCTGATTTAATATGTTTTAACATTGTAGTATTCAGAATGTATCAAGTTACTTTGTGTTAAATTACTATGAATTTTGATATTCATGTGATGTTGTAATAATTGTGAAAAATTTAACAGAACGAATATCACTAAAATCAATTTTTGTATTTTTATTTCTCCACATACATGAACATGATGTAAGGCAGGCGCGTAGCAACCTGTACGCAAAAACGCAGTTGCGTACACATCGAAAATTTTACAAAAATAAAAATATTGTAAATCTAGTAAGAATAAATTGAAACTAAAGTAATAAATTAGATTAAAATCTATCATGGCAAACATGTTAATAATCACTTTGTAGCTGTATTCCGTTCCTGAAATTACTTTTCATTTACGAGCCAGCATCACGATTATGTTGCTGATGCAAACAATTAAAATGGTCGTTGAGGTGTCAGAAAACAATTCTATGCTTCCTTCGCCAGTGCTGACATCTTTTCTGAAGATTTCAAAATAACTGACGAAATAAAATATGACGTTCTCATGGACAAGGATTCATTCTCATGATTTTCCTGTGAGGTATGGATAGTCTTAATTACATGCGTCTTCATAACAGATTTTTTAAACAGTCCATTCAGACTTAATAAAATTGAGAATGAAAATTGGGAATTTGTCAAAGAGACAACAACCCGACCAAAGAGCAGAAAACAGCCCGAGGCCACCAATGGGTCTTCATCGCAGCGAGATAATCACACACCCAGAGTCAGGCTTCAGCTGGCCCCTAAACAAAAATGTGTACTAGTTCAGTGAAAATGGACGTCACACTGAACTCCGAAACATATAAATGAACTAAAATAAAAAAACATTAAAGACTAACAAAGGCCAGAGGCTACTGACTTGGGAAAGGCGCAAAAATGTGGCGAGGTTAAACATGTTTTGTGATATCTCAACCCTCCCCTTATACCTCTAGCCATTGTGGAATAAAAAAGCACACAGAAATACGCACATGCAGTAAAACTCAGTTTAAAAGAAGTCCGAGTTCGATGTCAGAAAAGGTAACAGAAGAAACTAAGCAAAATGACAATGATACATAAATTAACAAAGGAATACTATCAATTACTGACATACATGTACCAGCTCCAGACCTCATTTAAACTGATTGAAAGATTATGTCTTCATCATAAGAATATCAAGCACAATCCCTCCCGTTAGGGGTTTAGTATCATACCATCATTAAATATATGAGAAGAACATAACCCGTATCATGCCAACAACTGGTTTTAGAATAAAGTGTGTATTACCGATGCAAAGACCTTAGGTTTAACGTGGTGGTAAAGGGTAATTTTCGTGCATTGTGTTTGCCGTTGTTTTTTAATTTTAATTGATGATCAACGTGTTTTTTAATTTTTTTAGTTTTACGTTAGGTTGTGCAAGACGGGTGCCTCGTTCAAAGTGTTCCCCAAACTTGATTATACGTGCTTCGAGATTAAAAGTGCTTATTTTCCATACTTCGAGATTTAAAGTGCCTGTTTTCCGTGCTTGGTAAAATTAAAAGACTGTCAGCGTTTTGGAAGTTAATAAAAAGAAATTGGAAATAATTTGATGATTTTCCTTATAGATTTCAAGACTTCAAACGTATATATAGTATACTTGGCAGATAAAGGTTTCTAACCTATAATGTGCGTTCGTTATAGTACTTATTTTATCATGCAACGTTCATAGACGAAATTATTTCACGTTCACCGTGAAATTGTTATTCCTTCTTTGTATTTAACGTTTTTTCCGTGCAAGTACCTACCTTTACCACCCCTTTTAACCTTAACTAACTAGCAACGAATATTATTTTTAATTTAATTTAATCAAACTCAACCCACTACACATTAGGAAATCCAAATTCCTCAGCTGAAATTACTTGTTTTTCTCTAATTAATATTATTTTCTTCAAAAGTTGACTTGTTACTTATGAAAATAAGATTTCCATGAGGTAATTTTAAGCCCCAGGAAATTGCGAGAATGCAGGATTTTGCACCATTTACCCCAGAGTTTTTACCCCCTGCTGTTTGACTCCTGCGGCATTGAGTACACATCATATTGGCCTAGCTACGCCCCTGTAAGGTACATATATAAGCCTTTTTGTGTCCATTTCACTGGTACTTGGTAAAAATGGTAAAAAAAAACATTGAGATTGTCAAATAACTGCTGATGCGATTGTTTTGACTTGAGCATGTTGTGTGTAAGAGGTTATTGGTTCAAAACCAAGCCAAGACTATAAAATTGTCATTTGGAGTTTGAATACAGTGGCTTCATGTGGACTGCTCACTAAATTGTGAGCTAGCACATTAAAGTTTTGACCAAGGGTGTTTATCCAATATACAAAGCTGCATCACATTAATATTTAATGTTATATTTTCCACTGGACATTATGTATCAATATTCAATCGAAGAAACTTAAATTTAATTCCTTAGAGCATGTAGACTATAGAGTAAGACTAATTTCATATTTACCAAATATGGTGCTTCAATTCAAATAGAAAAAAAGTTTGTCAAATAAAAAATCTCACCTTTTTTTACGGCTTTGTGACAAGTATATACATCATATTTTCCTGACTTATTGTAGTTTTATTTCTGAGATAAAAATAGTTACATGGTAGTTGCAATATTTGTTCATAGAAATCAAGAAAACATTTGTATATAGTACAAATGTAGTAAGTTCTTGACCAAGAAAAATTATGGATAATTCAATATGCAAATCTTATTAGAGTTATTGATTGATAGTACAACCAAAACAAAATAAATTTAGTGTTATACATCTACTGTAATGTGGAAAATATTCATGAGGGGTTTATTTTTTTTCGCTAATTTCGAAATTAAGATTAATTCGCAAAAATATTTCCTCATTTTAATTTGATCTTTAATGAAGATTAGAGTCAAGCACAAGAAACATATGAAAATAAAACCTTGTGAATAGGTTAAGCCTTTGAAATCCTGAAATTTAATCTCCACGAAAAAAAAAGTCACTTTCCAATATGCAACTTTGATTGAATGTGTGAATGACAGCATATATATAGACTTATGTTTATTCTTTTACTTTTTTCAGATTCCTTTCTCAAAGTTTTTCTTGTCGCATAAAGGTAGAATATTAGATGAACAGAGGAAAATTGACTTAGATAATGTACGTAATTTTGGATTGACTCTTGCGGATAGTGTTGAAGGACCGTTTCAGTTAGAAGTGGATTATATTGGATTGATCAACGATGAGACTCACGTAGAAGAGTTTGCTTATGAAATGTATCGTCATGAATTTATTACATTGTGATTAAATTTTATTTATCTGTAATCAAAGTTTTACATTCAAAGTTTTAAGGATCTATTTAATTGATAGGCAGACATTTTTTGTAAATTCTGCATCATGTACAAAACTTCTGTTTTGGTCTGTATATTTCGTTATAAAAGGTACCAGTACCTATGAATATGCTACAATCCCAACATGTTGGCTGACTTAAAAAAAAATAACTCTTGTCACACAAAAACAAAACATATCATACACACTTAAATCAGTATCATAATTTTTGTCGAGCCTGCGACTTTTGTCGCAGAAAGCTCGACATAGGGATAGTGATCCGGCGGTAGCTGCTACGGGGGCTACGGCAGCAGCGTTAGCTAACTTCTTAAAAGCTTTATATTTTAGAAGGTGGAAGACCTGGATGCTTCATACTTTGTATATAGATGCCTTATGTTACAAAGTTTCCATCTGTCACATGTCAATTGTCCTTGACCTCATTTTCATGATTCAGTGACTACTTGAAAAAAAAGTTAAGATTTTTTGTAATGTTAATTTCTCTCTTATTATGAGTAATAGGATAACTATATGTTATGTGCATACCTTGCAAGGTCCTCATGCCCGTCAGACAGTTTTCACTTGACCTCGACCTCGTTTCATGGATCAGTGAACAAGGTTAAGTTTTGGGGGTCAAGTCCATATCTCAGATACTAGAAGCAATAAGTCTAGCATATTTGGTGTATGGAAGGACTGTAAGGTGTACATGTCCAATTGGCAGGTGTCATCTGACCTTGACCTCATTTTCATGGTTCAGTGGTTATAGTTAAGTTTTTGTGTTTTGGTCTGTTTTTCCTATACTGTATGCAATAGGTCTGATATATTTGGTGTATGGAATGATTGTATGGTGTACATGTCTAGCTGGCAGGTGTCTTCTGACCTTGACCTCATTTTCATGGTTCAGTGGTCAAAGTTAAGTTTTTGAGTTTTGGTCTTTTTTTCTAATACTATATGCAATAGGTCAACTATATTTGGTGTATGGAAATATTTTATGATGTACATGTCAGTCTTACAGGTTTTATTTGACCTTGACCTCATTGCTCAGTATTAAGTTTTTGTGTTTTGGTCTGATTTTCATGGTTCATTGGTCAATGTTTAGTTTTCTTAGTTAGTCTGTATCTTAGAAACTATAAGCAATAGGTCAACTATATTTGGTGTATTGAATGATTGTAAGGTGTACATGTATTTCTTGTATGGTTTATATGACCTTGACCTCATTTTCTTGGATCATGTTAAGTTTATGTGATACTTGTAGTAAAGCTTTATATTTAGGACTATCAACATAATATCAATGATTAGTAAAGAAGGCGAGACATTTCAGCGTGTGCACTCTTGTTAATATTAAAGACCATATGTTGACATTGGTTGTCCTGTTGTTGGTGTTCTGTCAGATGAGCAGTATATTTTTATGTTGGTGTGGTTCAAATAGACAGTCAGTATTAAATTAAATTATGAATAATGTTGTGGTTAGCATTGTTTATCATGTTTATGCAGACAAAGTCCATGCTAAATGCAACATTCTTTTATAAATATCAGATAATCTTAAAATAATGGCAGATATTATAAATTGTTTGTAAAATTAGCATTTATCTGGTATTTTGTATGTGCTTGCACAAGATCAAACTTTTGTTACCTGGTTCCCCATTTCTCTCCAGATGCAGTCCTGCTTTTTGTTTTAATTCCTGGCAGTTTACAAGAATTCTTACGTACAATCAACTTATGAAAGCATCATTCATGATTATGACAAACAATAATGCACAATTACTAATGAAAATCAATAGAATACTATGTAAAATTGCACTTTAGTTCATTATGCTCCCTAAAAAAAATTTGAGGCATATAGTAATAGCTTTTCTGCTTTTCTGCTCTTCGGTCGGGTTGTTGTCTCTTTGACACATTCCCCATTTCCATTCTCAATTTTATTGTTCATCCATGATTTCGTTTGACAGAAACATGTTTCTGGATGATAACTTGTGTATCCTTTGCTTGATTTATAAAAACTCCTATAAGGCGTCAATTCACAATTTTGTCAAATTTGACCTATTGGTAGATCTTATGTTGCTGAACGTTTTTGCTTATTGCAATTTTTCTCAAGCAGTTTCTGTAAAAAACACATAAAATAAGATAATATGTCTATCAAGAGCAATAACTCCTATAAGGGGTCAATTGTTGATTAGTCCATGTTGAGTTCCTTACAGATCATATTTTGTTGAACATTTGTACTATGGAAAGATTCTATTTATCAACTTTAGTTTCCTAAACATATCTTGTTGACTGCCCATGTAGATTAAGTGTCAGAAAAATATCATTTCTCAAAGGGTTCTGTGGAAACATGTGATATCATTGATGTGATGTATACGTATGTCATCTGATCAACATGAAATGATAAAATTGAAAATGGAAACGGGGAATGTGTCAAAGAGACAACAACCCTACCAAAGAGCAGAAAACAGCCCAATGCCAATTAAGGGTCATCAACACAGCGAGAAAATGAGAATACTTTAAAAACAGTCACGCAGTCATTCCTATTCATTTGGAAAATGTATGCTTTTTGTTATTGGAGAAATTTCACAATTGAGAGGCATGTTTAACTCTGAAATATAGAAATGACATGAGAAAATTTTGTCAGTGACTTTCCAAATATTTTTTTTGAACGTTTGGTTCAAATAGGTAATTCCAGATAAGATTATGAAAAAATGAGAGGTTAGACACAAAAAGATGACAGACCCAAAGGGATGACATTAGTTCCATGGTATTTCAAGGTGAGTGTATTCTATACACTTAAATGTTGCTCTAACCTGGATTCACTGAATACAATGAATTCTGCGGTATCATTCTATGACCATGTTATTAATTGTAATAATGTTTTATCTGAATTTTTTCACTACTTTTATAAAACCAGGTTCAATCCACCATTTTCTACATTTGAAAATGCCTGTACCAAGTCAGGAATATGACAGTTGTCCATTCGTTCGATGTGTTTTATCAATTGTTTTTGCCATTTGATTAGGGACTTTCCGTTTTGAATTTTCCTCGGAGTTCAGTATTTTTGTGATTTTACTTTTTAATATAGAAGCAAAAATAAAAGTCAAAATTAAATTTTGTCAAAAGTATATTTCATAAAATTTCAACAAATTATTTTTGGCGAAATATACCACATACAAAATCTGATGTAAATGTTATATAAACTGAATAACATATTTTTAAACAACCTCTAAATGATAATCAGAACTTATATAAAGATATACATTTCCCAGTATACTTATAATTACCAATTATTGTTTATATACATAAGTGTGGCATTCCCGTTACTGCAAAAATATAATTTAATAAATAATACAAAATCATTATTTGAGCTCTGTGGGATAGAAATTGATCTAATGCAAATGAATATCAATACATCTGTTATCCTATTTGAAATAAAATCTATGCAAAGTCTGTACCTGTTTGAAAAATGAGTTGTTATAAGAACCCTACAAAAGAGACCAAAATTCATCTTTCCTTTCGTATTTGAATGTTCAAAAATCAATCAAAGTCTAAAACATGTACATGTATATGTTCACTTGCATAAGGTCGATTTCTATCCAATGCAGCTCATTTTTTCCTTAAAATATTGTATTGAACAATTTACTGATGGGTTAGTCTGAAGTTGGTTAGCAAATGTTTTTTTTTAATCAGGTTTTCACGATTTTCTATTAAAGCACTTTCATTTAAAGCAGTAGTGACTTTTTTTTTATCTGAATGGAAATAAACTACCCCTTGCACATACTTCAAGGACTGAAGCAAATAAAGAACAAACAAAAACATGAAGTGATTTGAAATAATAATTGTGGAGAATTAAGACTCCCAGTATGAAACTAATTTTATGGTATCTGCATTATTGTTCTTTACAAAACTAAAGAAATTACTTCAAAATCTTAACTCATATTATACTACATGTATATTATATCATCCTTTCTTGAAAAATTATAATTTAAAAACAAAAGCACTTGGAGGCTTGAGTTTTAAATCTAATACATAGTAATTAAAACACCAAAGTTCTTGAGTCATGTAAATACTTTTTCCATGTCTAAGAAATTTAAAAATCGGAATAGCCTGATAATTGTACAGAAAATTTAATTCCCTTGATGTTTACACAACTGAATGTTATATATAACTGCTAAGTTTGGAAAAAAAATTCTAGGGTAAATATTACTACCTTTTTTGGGGAAAATTTCCATGTAATTTTGAACATAGAGTAAAAATTTAACTGAAGTGGCTTGGAAATGTCCATCAATAGAAATTCTGATGGCTGATGAAATACATAAAACTGATATTCATAGTAATTTAGAGTCATAAATATTTCACAAAATAGATATTGAACAAGAATGTGTCCATAGTACACAGATGCCCCAATTGCATTATCATTTTCTATGTTCAGTGGACCGTGAAATTGGGGTCAAAACTAATTTGGCATTAAAATTAAAAAGATCATATCTTAGGGAACATGTGTACTAAGTTTCAAGTTGATTGGACTTCAACTTCATCAAAAACTACCATGACCAAAAACTTTAAACTGAAGCCGGACAGACAGATGGACAGACGGATGAACAGACGGACGAACGGATGCACAGACCAGAAAACATAATGCCCCTACTACTATCGTAGGTGGGGCATAAAAACAATGCATTTAATGCTATTAAAAAGACTTTTCAAGCTCATGTGCGACTGGAACATAAAACTTTAAGATGTGTAGTTAAGGAGGTGATTGCCTCATATAAAAATGACCTTATACCTGGTAGAACATAACAAACAAATTAAATATAATAAACAAAACAACAATCAAAGAAAAATAAAACTTAAAATAAATATTCATAAATGAGAAATTTACAAAAAAAAATATTTTGGTAGACGAGATTCTTACAAAAATAACTTTGTGCCGAACAAAAACAATATAAACACAACTCTAATAATGCTTTCTCATAAATTAATAGCACTAATAATATTCAATTGACATCTTACATTTAAATACACAGATGTTTTGAAAAAAAAATTTCATTTCAACACAGTTTCAACTTGTTGAGCTGAAAAACAAATTCTATGTATATTTCATTGTTGATAAACCGAACTTGCAGCAGACAAAAATATTAAGATATTTAGAAGTTTGACTGATTAATCGTTGATGTTTAATGCCACTTTCAGCACACCTGGCTATAGCCTTATGTACATATATTATTGGTGCGGGAAGGTAGGGTCACTTTAGAGTTCTACTAAACTTTGTGAGGAAGCTGGGGCACTTAGAAAGAAATACAGAACTTAGGCAGGAAAACTGGCAATCCTAGTCATTTAAGATCACAGTCAAACACACCTTGCCAAAGAGGGACGAAAGATACCAGAGAGACAGTCAAACTCATAGATCGAAAACAAACTGACAACGCCATGGCCAAAAATAAAAAGACAATCAGACAAATAATAGAATAGATGACACAACATAAAAAACTAAAGACTAAGAAACACGAACCCCACCAAAAACTGGGGGTGATCTCAGGTGCTCCGGAAGGGTAAGCAGATCCTGCTCCACATGTGGCACCCGTCGTGTTACTTATGTTATTACAAATCCAGTAAATAGTCTAATTCGGTAGGTCACATGCCAAAGTGGGGTTCAAACCAGGCGGTGATCCACGATTTGATGTAAAATGGGGGCTCCTGAAAATTAGGACTAAAAAGACCATATTTCGACAAAAAATTGGCTGTAATTTTACCTATAAATTACATTTTTTTAGAGGGGCGCGCGTGGGGTGTGCCCCTGTTTGAATCTGTACCTACAAAATCCCAATCCAGTGTTGTCAGGCAAATGATTGAATTGAGAAGTCGATGTTGCATAAGTTATATATGATAATGACTAAAATCCCTAGTTAAATTGGTTTGTCCTTTGAATCATACAAACTTAACAGATTGTCACATGTGTTACTTGAATCATAAATACTTACATAACATAGTTCATATATTAATCTTATTAAGTACAACATAGTTTAATTTTAACTAAAAAATATCCACAAAATACATAAAATATAAGTATCTCACAAATATAAAAAATTAAGCCACAGCTTAATAAATTAAATAATGATAGAGATTCATATTTACCAGAACTAAAGGTTCTGTACTTAACAGAAAATGTTGTGTCATATTAATTTTTCTATAACTGTAGATTCATCATTATTCGTGGGATACCAATTTTTGAGGATTTTGTTGGTACAGCTTAACCTTGACTTTGAATGATCAATGAATTAAACATTTTCTATGCAGACTTTGGCAAAACCACAAAATCAAATACTCAAGAAAATGCAAGTTTTCCTCAATCCACAAAAGTTGGTACCCACGAAAATAAATGAATCCACTGTATAACTTTGTATTATTATCTTGGTATCTCTAGAAACCATAGTTATATCAGAACAGATTCCTTAACAAAAAGTTAACCTACAGTCTCTACATTTTATTACTTCCCATTATATTTTCAATAAAACATTCAAAAATATGAATTACATAAATATTTAAATTATAAATATGAACAAACTCCTGATTATTTAAATATGAATATCTAATAAGCAAATTGTAAAAATTAAGCAAAATCACATTGTTTATACTATCAACCATAAAAATCTAAAGAAAATTGATTTCTTTGGGTTTTGTACACTTAAATCGTAGAAAGTTTTTATCAAATTAATTTTAGTTTTACAAGACTAAAATAATGCAGTTAGGTCTATATCCCTAACCAGGGCTCTTAGGAGTTCGATAAATTGCACTAAATTTAATCTTGCATGGTACCAAGAAAATTGAACCACACAGGTGTATTTGAAAATATTAAAGGTTCTAAATAAGACACTAAACATTTACAAGTGTACAAAATGGATAAAGGAATAAATGAAAATTATACTATAACTGCCTTGCTGAAATGAATTAGGAACCCACATTGACCCATAAAACCCTAAGAATATCTTACAGAATAATCTAATAACTGAAAATCGGAAAAATGCATCTTCTTCCCATTTGTGAATCCAATTTCAGGATTTGTTCCTTTAAGTCATTTTGTGTTAATACAAAAATAAGATGTGGTATAATTAAAAATTAGACAACACTCCACCAGGGACCTGTCTAGATAAAAGTTAACCTCAACTCGCTGTCCTAAAAGCCTGATTTTGAATTGTCTTGGTCTGTTGTCAGTTTAGGCTCTCTGGGTTATTTTTATGATCTGAATAATAATAATATTACAAGTAACCTAAAGAGTGCTTCTTTCTTTTTTTTTTTGGGTGGAAAGGGGAGGGGAGGGGCTATTTGACTTATATATCAAGGGTTAAGTAAATAATTAGGAATGAAGTTCAGAATGGAGGTTGTAGAGAGCTTATTCCAAGACCACTCATAAATGATGTACTAGTCAAATGAATGAAATGTAATATAAAATGGAATTATGTTTACACGTAGCTTATGATGTTACCCCCAAATACATCATGGGAAATTATGCTAAATATAGAGATCCTGATATTAATTATATGGATTTCATTATAAAAAATAAGTACTTGTTAAGGGAGCTACCATTTGATTTTTATGGGGGGGGCTAGGATGAAAAATTTTGTCCTGCATTTTTTTTTAGTTGTAATCTCTGTCCTGCCTTTTTATTTTTCACTGTATTCTGTCCTGCCTTTTTTTTAAAAGTTTATCCTGATTTTTATTTACCTAAATTGTCATCCTGACTTTTTTTTTTGCAAGTGTCTCATCCTGCCTTTTTTTTTACTCAAAACTCCTGTCCTGCCTATTTTTTTCAAATTTCATCCTAGCCCCCCCATAAAAGTCAGATGGTAGCTCCCTAAGTTATTACACAAACAATTATATACAACACACAAAAACATCGGATATATTGCTCCACATTAATGTGGTTCCAATCATCAAATGAGAACCTTGATATTTTTCAAAGAAAAAGCTATGATTTTTTTTTTGCCTTCTATCTTATTGCAAGCAAAAAAAAAAGATGAACGATGAAATTAAAACAATACTGTAAATTCAATAATATTATAATTGTGAATCCTTGTCCTAATGCTGCGTTCACACGTAATTCGAATTCGAATTCGCATTAACTAATTCGAATTAGTTTAATTCGCATTCGAAACGTTTAACGTCCAAACGTAAATTCTAATTCGAATTGCAATGCGCGTCAAATTCGCTTTACTGTCCTAACGACGTTAACTTTTAATTTGTATTAACAAAAACGCATTTCTAATGCGAATTGGATAATGCGATTTAGCCAATTCGAATCAATTCGAATTAAAAAAGAAGAGTGTGTGAACGCGATTAGCGAATTCGATTCGCATTCGATTCGAATTCAATTCGAATTAAATGTACGTGTGAACGAGGCATGTGTCAAAAATTACAAACATTTTATGAAGGAAAATCACAACTAAACTTATGAATGCAAGTTTTTATTATTTCGAACTTGAAACTGTCTCATTTTTTGAGCTAATAAATACATCGTAATAATTTCCGATAGGTGATGGAATGTATTAATTATACCTGTAGATAATTCTATTCCATTTTCAAATTCAATTTATGAACTTTTATCTCTTTTACATTTGCAAAATTCTGCCTTTATCTATAAAGCATACTGCAAGTTTGCTGTAAATAAAATATTTTCTAAGAAAAAGAATTTAATTGGATTAATGTGTTTTGACGTTGAAGCAATTTTACATTATTCAATTTAAATCAACCACAGATGTCAAAATATTTTGATATGTAAAGATATCACAATCATATGAATATGGGTATGGAATTTATTTCAAATACTGTGGATTCGTTATTATTCGTGGGATACCAACTTTCGTGGATTTCTTGGGTATAGGTCAACCATGAATTTCAATGCTTGATGAAGTAGTATAAATTTTCTATAGTCTTACAGACTTTGGCAAAACCAAGAAATCAAATATCCACGAAAATACAATGTTTCCTCAATCCATGAAAATTGGTACCATTAAAATGAATGAATCGACAGTAGAAACAAATATTGTGGTCATTTAATAATTATTACCCAATGATCACATAGCAATATCATGAATATATAACTCTAAACAAAGTCACATGACTACAACACATATATCATGTTTCGATGATCATTTAAATCGACTATATGTGTGTATAAGAACACTGAAGATTATAAGGTGACCTCTGGATGTCTACTTCAAGTGTTTGATTGTCTTGTTGCTGCACTATATGTAGACGTTTATCCCCACATCTCCTTTCATTTGCATTTTTTTCAAAATTCAGTTCTAACTTTCTAACGAGACACCCTTCTTTCACTTTGTAAACAAAGCCATGTGTTGTGCAATTTAATGAAGAACTGAGCAGAGGGAAGGACATTATGACAAATATAGGGGTACCCATGTTAAAATGAGCAAAGAGCATGAAGTGAAAGAACTATTTCTTACATTTAATTGCAGCAATTTCTAATCTCATACTTTTTACTTTTATTACTTTTTGGGAAGAAAACATTAACACTCAGTCCCTCATGGTCTCCTTTATATTCTATAAGGTTCAAATTTCCACAAATTATACTATTGTTATTTAATATATTTGGTGGATTAATTACCACCCTGACAAATTGACGATTTTTATGTTCAAAAGATGTACCTTGGCAATGTAAGGCATGTGTACTGAATAAGGCAAAACTTACTTATTAATATATACAACAGTTAATATTTAAAGCCTTAATAACCCTGTGTACATATATAGATGGAAAAATACCAAATATTGATATAGATCAAGAGATAGCATAAATACTACAAAGTAAATACCTTGCAGTTAAGTAAATATTGATTGTTTACAGATCAAGTCATCCATATAAAGTTATTTTTAAACTTTCTACCTACATGTGTATTTTTCTACCAGAAGCCCATAATGATCAAATTAATTTTACAATATAGACCACTTTAACATATAGCTATGCTTCATTGATTTACCTTTAGAATTAACAATATTTACATAATATCATTTTACATTTTTCCCCTATATCATGTATATATTTGTTTATAAGGTTTAATACATGATTTTATATATCGGCATACTTTTATCATCACTTAAATATTCATATTGTTGTGTAAATAAATTTGTAATGCTGCAAAAATTGACTTTGTTTTGATTATTTAAAAACCTCTACATTTTAAACCCACTGTTGTATTTATCACATAAATTTCCCTATTATTTTTCGTATTTCAATCATGAAATCGTTGAACCATGTAATTTTGTCCATCCTCTTTATCAAATCCAAACTGTTTGTAAAACTTCACCATCCCGTCTAGACATTCTAATGACAATTTATAACAGTCTATCTTCTGACACAAAATTGTTAATACGTCCAATAACCTGCAATGGATAAAAATATAATTTCAGCTGAATACCTAGAAAGCACTTTTATTTCTACATTTTTCATTCTAGTAGATTTGATCATACTTTTTATTCGGAAATTAAAACAAATCTTCAATTGATGATTGAAATGTGATATTAATTAATGCTACTCACTCTGAGACCAATGCTATAAGTAATAAAGATTTATTAAGATGTTTTTCAAAATTTGTGATTTTTTTAACAAATAGTTCATTACTACAAATGAACTATATTATATATAAAAATATTAATTTTCGTGAACCATTTAGGTCATGGAAATTCCATTTTATGCCATCAGTAAGGAGAGTTGTACAAATATTGTGAATACACAGAACCCCGATCCAATTCATCTTTTGCTAAAAGTATTTATTATTTTCTGTTTTGTATCTCCTAACATCATTCCATCTTTCTCTAATTTCGATTAAAATATGCCAAAACCTGCAGTAAAAATAGATGTATGCCCCAAATAAACATTCCCCGATTGGTTGAACTACTATGGCCTCGATGTAAAGCACACGCTTCCCAAGAGTAAGGAGAGTTGTACAAATAATGTGTATACACAGACCCCCGATCCAATTTATCTTTTGCTAAAAGTGTTCATCATTTTCTGTTTTGTATCTACCAACAACATTCCATTTTTCTATAATCCCAATTTAAACATGTCAAAACCTGCAGTAAAAATAGATGTATGCTCCAAGTAAACATTCCCCAATTGGTTGAAAAGCTGTGGCCTCGATGTAAAGCAAAGCAAGCACACGCAAAAATTTCCGTTAATATGTTAAACTTCGACCCCGGGATTCAACCGATTCACAAACAGAGATTTTCTTGCGCTCAAATGTAATTCTAAGTAGCTTTTATAAGATACATTTTGTACTAACACAGCAATGAAGTACTGTGATAGAAAGATACTTACAATTTTCCCAACTGTTTTCCTCTGTAAGCATTATTAACTACAATATCTTCTATTCTACCTCTCTGAAACAGATTAAAAAAAAACTGAATTATTTTTATACAGAACATTTTACTTTATAAAGTTTCTATATTGAAAGACTTATGTCACCTATTGGACAGTATAATAAACTGCTTCGCTGAGCGCAGCTGGATACGCCCGCAGAGGTCCAACCCTGAACAGTTGGGGCAAAAATGGACACAATATTAAAGCTTAAACTGGACTGAATTTGGATTTGTATTTGACATATTATAGTTTTCTGAATAAATGTAGTCAAAGAACTTGAAATTGGTTATATCAATTGAATTCATATTCAATTAAAGATTTCTTGCTGTTGTGCAATACACTGTGCTGTTGCGCAATACTTATAAGTAAATCTGTTGTCAGACTGTTGTCTGCTCTATGGTCGGGTTGTTGTCTCTTTGACACATTCCCCATTTCCATTCTCAATTTTATTTATAAACAAATAAAGTTCAATTAATTCTCAATGTCATATTAGAAATTTATGAAAATGTAAAGGGAGCATACATCAATAGATATAAACAATTCACCAAAGTTTCATGAGAATTGCTGACAGCATTTTTGAGTTATTGTCGGAAAACTGGAAAATCCCCCCTTTTTTAATGAATAAAACCCCATAACTCAGAAATGTAAAATGTAAAATTTATATAATTCTAAACGGAGCTTACATCAATAGATATAAACAATTCACCAAAGTTTCATAAGGACTGCTCACAGCATTTTTGATTTTTAGTCCGAAAACTGGAAAATCCCCCTTTTTTTATGAATAAAACTAGGAAACATATAATCTAAAATTATAAAAAACGAAAGGGAGCTCACGTCAATAGATATAAACAATTCACCAAAGTTTTATGCAAATCGGTTCAAGCGCTTTTGAGTTAATGGCCGACATGTTGAAAACGGACGGACGGACAGCGGTATACCATAATACGTCCCGTAAACGGGGGTATAAAAAGTTAGTTCGTAGTATTCCATCAGAAGCAAACAGGGTTTCATTTATGGAAAGTTTTGCCATACAAGTTGAAAGGGTTTTGCACAAATATTGGTGAATATCATCCCGTAAAGAATTAAACTGCTATCTCACGCATGAAATAATCTAATTTGATTTACCCTATATCATCCACAAAAAGTAGGAAAATTTAGCATAGATTATACCAAAGGTCTACTATCTTAACTATATTATGTTTTACATTAATGACATATGACCAAGATAGGCAAAGGGGTGTGCTCATGTAAAACTGATTTAACCCCACTGTATTTTGTGCCTGAACTAAGGTCGTCTTTCTGTACCATGTGTCGTTCGGTGGAGTTATACTAGATAGATGATAATTTATTCTCTAAACCAAATTAGCAAAGGTGTTGATAGAAGACCTTTGATTTATTCACAACTTGTTTTGAAGGCTTTTCTATTGTTGGAAACCAAATAATTACCTCTAGAATCTAGATGTTACCTTTGGTTGTTTTGTTGTTTTCCAAGTGTCTGATTGGCACCTTCACCCTAACCTGAGACAGTCTCAGGTTAGGGTGAAGGTTGACACCTGTTAAAACGTTTAAAGCCGCTGCATTTTTATGCACCTGTCCTAAGTCAGGAGCCTGTTGTTCAGTGGTTGTCATTTGTTGGTGTGGTTCATAGGTGTTTCTTGTTTCTCGTTTTTTATATAGATTAGACCGTTGGTTTTCCCGTTTGAATTGTTTTACACTAGTCATTTTGGGGCCCTTGCTGTTAGGTGTGAGCCAAGGCTCCATGTTGATGCCGCACTTTGACCTATAATTGTTCACTTTTTATACATTGTGACTTGGATGGAGAGTTGTATCATTGGCACTCATACCACATCTTCTTGTTTATATGTAACCCACATTTACTTTAAAACATTTACATACTCGATTACCTTTTTGTGGATGATATCGAGAAGAAATACTTGTAACATGTGTAAGTCATGAAAATTTCAGTATAACTTGCAATCAATGTTGTGCCAAAAGAGCCCCTAAAACTTACAGCAAATATTAACTGGGAAGGACAGACTTGTATTACAAGGCAAAGAACCATAGCAATATACTCATCTCAAACTTTGTTTAGCGAGTGGATAATTGCTGAGTTTTCTTTAACTGTTGTTTTTCTGTTCCTTTTCTTTCAGCCACAACTTTGTCGTCCTATTGTAACTTAAGTTTTTTTTATCTCCCCCTTGTATCTTTTCTTATTTTTTGTCAATTATGCTAATACACAACAACTTAAACTGGTTTTGTCATTTCCATCTGCCCACCTTGTACATGTACAGTTCACTCTTAACCATTCAAATCTAATCTCAGATTTTGTATAAAATATTGAATAGACAAATTTTAATTATTTTTCCACCGTTTTGTATATTGAATTATGATGAAATAAAAAGAAATGGCAAGTGAACTCAAAAAGCTTGTTATAATTTTGGTGGTGAAGGAATTCAGAGTGCCCTTAGAGAAACATGATCTTTGGCAGGAAAATTAGCAATCCTAATCAATTAATATTATTGTTCAACACACCTTCCTTGTGCAGGGTTTGAACTCATAACATCCTTGTTGACAGGCTAGTGATACAGTAGATGAACTACTTAGACCACTAGACCACTCGGCCAATAAGGCATTCAGTGTTGACAGGCTATTATACAGAAGATGAACTACTTAGACCACTCCGACACTGAGATGTGGAAATAACAAAATCCCCCTCAGCTGAAGTAAACTTTGCTGCGGAACCTTAGCCCTTAGGTCCTTGTGATATTTAGATCTATTGTCCGCAAATTGTCAAAAAGTATCATAAGGCCCTAAGAGCTAAGGTTCCTCAGCTAAAGTGTACTTGTATCAGGCTGTAAGTTTTCTAGTTTGAATTGTTTTACATTTGTCATTTTGGGGCCTTTTATAGCCGACTATGTAGTATGGGTTTTGCTTATTGTTGAAGGCCGTACGGTGACCTATAGTTGTTAACTTCAAAGTCATTTGGTGTCTTGTGGAGAGTTGTCTCATTGGCAATCATATCACATCTTCTTATTTTTTTATTTGTACACCATTTCTGGTAAGTATAATTGCTGAATTGGTTTTGTTTGTATATGTAATTTCATAATTTGTACAATGGCGTAAACTGCTAACTGATTATTTTGAAATTACATTTTCCAAATACTTACAGATGCACACTGTCGTAAAAACTTTCGTTCTTTCACCAGAGTACCTGTTCCTATGACCTGGTTTAAAGACAGGTCTTCTATCACAACTACATAATATGTATCTCCACAGCCTTTCAGATCATCAAATCTTGCTGAAATTAAATGAAATAACTGATGTCAATTCAGAAATAGTTGTAGTGTTTTTATTATTGTATAAATTTGCTACAGGAAAGGCATTGAAAAAGTATAAGCTTGCATTCAAAATATAGATAGCAATGTCAGGGTTCTCACTAAGGATTTTTGAAGGCGAGTCCAGGGACTCGTCATTTTTGGCCATGGTGAGTCCAACAGTATGAAGAAGATATTTTATTGTAATACAATTTATCATTTTAGTCTCCATGACCTTATAGAGCAATGAAATGACATTAAATTCAGATTACTTTTAAACCTTTGCTATAAAATGATGATATGTATGTTCAGTTTATACAAAATATTCCAATCCAGTTTTGAAAATGGTGAGTCCAGACAGATTATCATGAGTCCAGGACTCATGGACTCACCTTAGTGAGAACCCTGAGCATTATTTGTATGCAGAATTTCCTGAAATGCAAATTGGTCTCACATATTGTATATTATCCAATAACCTCAATAATATATGCATGCAAAAATTTCTGAATTTTCACTAAATTAAAGAACCTTAGTGAGCAGGTTCACATACCCCACGCCCCCATATTGTCACTTGGCAAACAAAATCTCACCAGATTCCTAGTTCAAAGACTCATAACTCCTACAAAAGTCAACTAATAAAAATTTCTTGTTGATATGCACATCTACATAGTATGTCCGTATTAGCTTCAAAGTTTCATGAAATTCTGTTGTACGGTTTCAGAGGAGTTGCGATGACAACAACAGGACTGACGGAAGGACAGATGGGTCAAAAATATTATACACTAAGGAATTTTGTTCGGTGGGGTATAATTAGTTAATAAAAAGGCTTTGCAGCTAGAACTATAATAAAATACACAGTATTTTGTGAATTTCCTATTGTTTAAGGACAATAAGAAACTTCTCTGACCAATAGTGTTATGCTTATGGTCACAAATTCATAACTAGATATATTAGGGGGAGGGTTTGGCACCATATAACTAGTTCAACCCCGCCACATTCTGTATGTGCCTGTCCCAAGTCAGGAACCTGTAATTCAGTGGTTGTCGTTTGTTGCTGTGTTTCATATTTGTTTTTCACTCATTATTTTTGTACATAAATTATTTTAAAAGTCAAGAATTTAATTTTTGTTTAAATTTTGTGACAATATATCAGTTTTACTGCTAAATAATTAAGAAAACTGATGAAAATTCATATTTAAACAAATTTTCGATTGGACTACTCAGGGTGTTGTAAATATCCATGGTATTCAAATGCAATAAGGAATAAAAAAAAAATTTTCAGATTTTTTTACACATACTCAAATAAAATACTCTACATCCATATCTATATTTTGGCATTGCACAAGGTTCATGTTTTTCTCAGAATATTTATATTTTTCTTTATTTCTTGATACATTAATTACATAATAGCAAAAAATACCATAAATTAAAATCATTTTTTATGTACTTGCCTTCAAACTCTTCTCTTGAGACATTACCAACTTTGGTCAGCTGACTCAATAAATTCATGTAGTCTGCAAATAAATGTAAACAGGTTGATGTTTACCAGTATATATACAATAAGAGAATAGACTAAAATATAATTAATCTATTTTATTCAAAGAATGGATAAATGACAAGACTTCCAAATATTTTTTTAATGAAATGTTTTTTTTTTCTCTTTATTTTCAAATTTTCAGTTTACCCACATTAGACTCTTTATGTCCCCAAAATATCTCCTCTCTCTCTCTCTCTCTCTTTACTTTGAAATTCATTGGCTTTTCATGCTATTTAAAGTTCTTCTTATTACCCAGTATATTGTTGTTTTAGAATCAATAAATGTGGATTGTGTCCACATGTGGACACAGATGATGTCCCCGCTTGCATATCATATAGTTATAAAGGGACATAACTGAAGAACTGTAAAAGTGACACTACCCAAATTTGAACTTGATCTGAGTTTTGTGGTAATAAGCATTATGTGTAAGTCTCATAACATTTGGTTGAGGCTAACTTAAGAAGAGAACAGAAACAAAAAATTCAGCAATTTTTCTATTTGTAAACACGCATAACTCTAGAACGGTTGTGTATACGTTTTATTACATTTGGTTGAGACAAACTAAAGTTACAGAACGGAAACGAAAAATTCAGCAATCTTTATGTTTATGAAGGGACATAACTCAAGAATGGTAAAAGTGACGCCACCGAATTTCGTACTTCATCTGTATTATGTAGTAATAAGCATTGTGTATAAGTTTCATAACATTTGGTTGAGGCAAACTAAAGTTAGCATGTTAGAGAACGGAAACAATATTTGTACTTGATCTTAGTTTTGTGGTAATGAGTATTGTGTATAGGTTTCATAATGTTTGGTTAGGGCAAACTTAAGTTACAAAATGGAAACTCAAAATTTTGCAATTTTTCGATTTATAAAAGGGCATAACTCAATAATGGTTAAACTGACACTACCCAAATTCAACTTGATCTGTGTTTTATCAGTGGAAGGCAAAATTAAACATTGCATTGTATAAAGCATTGATTGAAGTTGATTTAACTATAATCATGGACAAAGGAAGATAACTCTAATTTTAAAAATTACTTGAATAATGACATTGATATTTTTGGAAAAAAAATGAAAAAATTGCTACATTTGTAAAGGGGCATAACTCTAGAACAGTAAAAGTGATGCCCCCAAAATTTAAACTTGATCTGTGTATTGTGGTAATAAGCATTGTGTATAATTTTCATAACATTTGGATTAGGCAAACTTAAGTTAGAGAAAGAAAATGAAAAATTTTGCAATTTTTCCATTTATAAAGGGGTATAACTCTAGAACGGTGAAAGTGACGCCACCAAAATTCAAACTTGATCTGTGTTTTGTGGTAATAAACATTGTGTATAAGTTTGATAACATTTGGTTGAGGCAAACTTAAGTTAGAGAATGGAAACCAACTGTGGGACGTACTGACGGACATATGGACAAGGGTAAAACTTAATTCCCCCTCCGCTACGGCGGGGGCATAAAAATGACTACATGCATATGAGTAATGTTATTGTTAAAACACTAAATTGAAAAAAAACAATAAAAATAACACTGACTGAATATAAAATAATTATCAGCTGTTTAAAGGATGTAGTTATGTTAACCAAAAGCAAGTATAGCATTTTTATATGCCTGTTTATGTAATATGGTATACCGTTGACCGTCTGTCTGTCCGTCCGTCTGTCTGGTGTCCGTCCCTCGTCAACATGTCGGACATTAACTCAAAAACGCTTTAACCAATATGCATGAAACTTTGCTGAAATGTTTATATCTATTGACGTGAGCTCCCTTTCGTTTTTTTATAAATTTCGGATTTACCACTTCCAAGTTTTGGGGTTTTATTCATTAAACAAGAGGCTCTCAAGAGCCTGAATCGCTCACCTGTATTTCAGAGAAGATTTTTAAATGTTAGCAAACTTGATGAACAAATTGTGTAAAATTGTCTTTAAAGGGCAATAACTCCTTAAGGGGTCAATTGACAATTTTGTTGATTAACTTTATTAACTTTTTTGTAGATCTTATTTTGCTGAACATTATTGCTGCATACAGTTTACATATATCTATAGTAATATTCAAAATAATAACAAAAAACTGCAAAATTTTGTTAAAACTACCAATTCGGTGGCAGCAACCCAACAATGGGTTGTTCGATTCGTCTGATAATTTCAGGGCCGATAAATCTTGACCAATTTAACAATTTTACCCCATGTCACATTTGCTCTAAAAGATTTAGTTTTTGAGATATAAGCCAAAAACTGCATTTGACCCTTATGTTCTATTTTTAGCCATGGCGGCCATGTCTGTCGATGGATACAAATTTTGGATACAATTTATAAACAAGATACCCTAAGGAACATTTAGTTAAAGTTTGAAGGTAATTGGCCCAGTAGTTTCAGAGGAGAAGATTATTAAATGTTAGCAAACTTGATGAACAAATTGTGTAAAATTGTCTTTAAAGGGCAATAACTCCTTAAGGGGTCAATTGACAATTTTGTAGATTAACTTTATTAACTTTTTTTTTAGATCTTACTTTGCTGAACATTATTGCTGCTTACAGTTTATATATATCTATAATTATATTCAAAATAATAACAAATAAAATGCTCCGCAGGGCGCAGCTTGATACGACCGCAGAGGTCGAACCCTGAACAGTTGGGGCAAGTATGGACACAACATTCAAGCTTGATACAGCTCTGAATTTGGATTGTGATTAAATATTTGACACAGCATAGGTTTCTGACACAGAATGAATGTGGTCTAAGAACTTAAAAATTTTAAATTGGACATTCACCTATTATGGTCCAATATCCAAAATCTAAATACATGGTTAGATTCAGCATATCAAAGAACCTCAAGAATTCAATTTTTGATGAAATCAAACAAAGTTTAATTTTGGACCCTTTTGACCTCAATGTGGACAAAGTTGATAACGGGGCCCAAAACTCTAAATACATGGTTAGATTCAGCATATCAAAGAACCCCATATATTCAATTTTTGTTGAAATCAAACAAAGTTTAATTTTGGACCCCGATTTGGACCAACTTGAAAACTGGGCCCATAATCAAAAATCTAAATACATGTTTAGATTCAGCATATCAAAGAACACTAAAAATTCACAATTTTTGTTAAAATCAAACTAAGTTTAATTTTGGACCCTTTGGACCTTAATGTAGACCAATTTGAAAACGGAACCAAAAATTAAGAATCTAAATACACGGTTAGATTCGGCATATCAAAGAACCCCAATAATTCAATTTTTGATGAAATCAAACAAAGTTAAATTTTGGACCCTTTGGACCTCAATGTGGACCAATTTAAAAATGGGGCCCAAAATCCAAAAACTTAATACACGGTTATATTCAGCATATTAAAGAACCCCAAGAATTCAAGAATAAAACCCCATTGAAATTGATCAAGAAATAAGCAATTTATAAGAAGTATCTTCTTTTGCACAATACTGTGCAATTGAATATTTCTTGCTATTGCGCAATACTGTACAATTGACAATTTCTTGCTATTGCGCAATATTGTGCTATTGGATATTTCTTGCTATTGCCCAATACTGTGCAATTGAAGATTTCTTGCTATTGCGCAATACTGTGCAATTGAAGATTTCTTGCTATTGTGCAATACTGTGCAATTGAAAATAACTTGCTATTGCACAATACTTATTATATAAAAATTTACACATCCTGTTTGGTGTGTATCTCCTACCATATCATTATTATTTGCTTTTAAATATAAATCAGAAATAACCAACTTAAAATGGAAAATTTTAAAAGAAAAAAAAAGGAAAAAAAGAAAAAAAAAGAAAAAAAAAAAAATCCCCCCCCCCAAATGTTTTGAACCCCCTTATGATTCATCACCCCAAACTCAATCCTAGCCTTCCCTTTGTGGTATGGTACCTTGCAGTACAATTTCAGAGAGATCCATACACTTGAACACAAGTTATTGTCTTGAAACTAGAAAAATGCTTATTTTTGGCCCCTTTTTGGGCCCCAATTCCTAAACGTTTCAGGCAATTACCCCTGAACTCAATTCCAGCTTTCCCTTTGTGATATGAAACCTTATATTACAATTTCAGAAATATCCAAACACTTACACACAAGTTATTGTCATGAAACTAGAAAAATGCTTGTTTTTTTCCCCTTTTTTGGCCCCTAATTCCTAAAATTTTGAGGCAATTACCCCCAAAATCAATTACAGCCTTCCCTTTGTGATATGGAACCTTGTGGTACAATGTCAGAGAGATCCATACACTTACACACAAGTTATTGTCTGAAAGTTACAAAAATGCTTATATTTTTGGCCCCTTTTTGGCCCCTAATTCCTTAACTGTTGGTACCATAACCCCCAAAATCAATCCCAACCTTCCTTTCGTGGTATTGAACCTTATGGTAAAATTTCATGGAGATCCATTCACTTAAACTAAAGTTAGAGTGCGAAAACCAATGTGTCTTCGGACGACGCCGGACGACGACGACGACGACGACGACGACGACGCCAACGTCATACCAATATACGACCAAAAAATTTTTAATTTTTGCGGTCGTATAAAAACTGCAAAATTATGTTAAAACTACCAATTCGGTGGCAGCAACCCAACAATGGGTTGTTCGATTCGTCTGAAAATTTCAGAGCTGATAGATCTTGACCAATTGAACAATTTTACCCCATGTCAGATTTGCTCTAAAAGATTTAGTTTTTGAGATATAAGCCAAAAACTGCATTTGACCCCTATGTTCTATTTTTAGCCATGGCGGCCATGTTTGTCGATGCATCAAAACTTCAGATACAATTTATAAACTAGATACCCTAAGGAACATTTAGTTAAAGTTTGAAGGTATTTGGCCCAGTAGTTTCAGAGGAGAAGATTTTTTAAATAGTTTACGACCACAGACGACAAACAACGACGGACGCATAGTGATGGCATAAGCTCACATGAGGCCCCGGTGAGCTAAAAAGGGGGGATTTTCCAGTTTTTGGACAATAACTCAAAAAAAATTTCACCAATTTGCCAGAAACTTTGGTGAATTGTTTATTTCTATCGACATGAGCTCCCTTTAGATTTTTATAAATTTTAGACTATATGTTTCTGATTTATGGGGTTTTATTCATTACAAAAAGGGGGATTTTCCACTTTTCTGACAATTACTCATAAACGCTTTAACCAATATGCATGAAACTTTGCTGAATTGTTTATATCTATTGACATGAGCTCCCTTTTGTTTTTTATAAATTTTGGATTTACCATTTCCAAGTTTTGGGGTTTTATTCATTAAAAAAGGGGGGATTTTCCAGTTTTTGGACAATTACTCAAAAACAATTTCACCAATTTGCAAGAAACTTTGGTGAATTGTTTATTTCTATTGACATGAGCTCCCTTTTGAATTTTATAAATTTTAGACTATACGTTTCTGATTTATGGGGTTTTATTCATTACAAAAAGGGGGATTTTCCACTTTTCTGACAATTACTCATAATTGCTTTAACCAATATGCATGAAACTTTGCTGAATTGTTTATATCTATTGACGTGAGCTCCCTTTTGTTTTTTATAAATTTTGGATTTACCATTTCCGAATTTTGGGGTTTTATTCATTAAAAAAGGGGGGATTTTCCAGTTTTGGACAATTACTCAAAAACAGTTTCACCAATTTGCCAGAAACTTTGGTGAATTGTTTATTTCTATTGACATGAGCTCCCTTTTGAATTTTATAAATTTTAGACTATAGTTTTCCGATTTATGGGGTTGTATTCATTAAATGAGGGGGGATTTCCCAGTTTTCTGTCAATAACCATAACTCAATAATGATTTGTGCAGTAATTTTTTTCATAAATTTCTGTTATGTATGGAACTTTATTTTTTGTTTATAGTCTGACAACAGATTTACTAAGTATTGCGCAACAGCACAGTGTATTGCACAACAGCAAGAAATCTTTAATTGAATATAAATTCAATTCATATAACCAATTTCAAGTTCTTTGTCTACATTTATTCAGAAACCTATAATATGTCAAATATTTAATTACAATCCAAATTCAGACCTGTATCAAGCTTGAATATTGTGTTCATTTTTGCACCAACTGTTCAGGGTTAGACCTCTGCGGGCTTATCCAGCTGCGCTCAGCGAAGCAATTTATTGTTTATGTTTTCAAAATTATTATGCAGGATGATTCTAAAAATGAGAAATTGTCAATATTTTTTTCTTACAATCACTTTTCTCAAAAGTACTTATTTCCATGGAAATAAAATGCTCCGCAGGGCGCAGCTTGATACGACCGCAGAGGTCGAACCCTGAACAGTTGGGGGAAGTATGGACACAACATTCAAGCTTGATACAGCTTTGCATTTGGATTGTGATTAAATATTTGACACAGCATAGGTTTCTAACACAGAGTGAATGTGGTCTAAGAACTTAAAAATCTTAAATTGGACATTCACCTATTATGGTCCAATATCCAAAATCTAAATACATGGTTAGATTCAGCATATCAAAGAACCCCAAGAATTCAATTTTTGATGAAATCAAACAAAGTTTAATTTTGGACCCTTTTGACCTCAATGTGGACAAAGTTGATAACGGGGCCCAAAAATCAAAAATCTAAATACATGGTTAGATTCAGCATATCAAAGAACCCCATATATTCAATTTTTGTTGAAATCAAACAAAGTTTAATTTTGGACCCCGATTTGGACCAACTTGAAAACTGGGCCCATAATCAAAAATCTAAATACATGTTTAGATTCAGCATATCAAAGAACCCTAAGAATTAAATTTTTGTTAAAATCAAACTAAGTTTAATTTTGGACCCTTTGGACCTTAATGTAGACCAATTTGAAAACGGAACCAAAAATTAAGAATCTAAATACACGGTTAGATTCGGCATATCAAAGAACCCCAATAATTCAATTTTTGATGAAATCAAACAAAAAAGTTTAATTTTGGACCCTTTTGACCTCAATGTGGACAAAGTTGATAACGGGGCCCAAAAATCAAAAATCTAAATACATGGTTAGATTCAGCATATCAAAGAACCCCATATATTCAATTTTTGTTGAAATCAAACAAAGTTTAATTTTGGACCCCGATTTGGACCAACTTGAAAACTGGGCCCATAATCAAAAATCTAAATACATGTTTAGAATCAGCATATCAAAGAACCCTAAGAATTCAATTTTTGTTAAAATCAAACTAAGTTTAATTTTGGACCCTTTGGACCTTAATGTAGACCAATTTGAAAACGGAACCAAAATTTAAAAATCTAAATACACAGTTAGATTCGGCATATCAAAGAACCCCAATAATTCAATTTTTGATGAAATCAAACAAAAAAGTTTAATTTTGGACCCTTTTGACCTCAATGTGGACAAAGTTGATAACGGGGCCCAAAAATCAAAAATCTAAATACATGGTTAGATTCAGCATATCAAAGAACCCCATATATTCAATTTTTGTTGAAATCAAACAAAGTTTAATTTTGGACCCCGATTTGGACCAACTTGAAAACTGGGCCCATAATCAAAAATCTAAATACATGTTTAGAATCAGCATATCAAAGAACCCTAAGAATTCAATTTTTGTTAAAATCAAACTAAGTTTAATTTTGGACCCTTTGGACCTTAATGTAGACCAATTTGAAAACGGAACCAAAATTTAAAAATCTAAATACACAGTTAGATTCGGCATATCAAAGAACCCCAATAATTCAATTTTTGATGAAATCAAACAAAGTTAAATTTTGGACCCTTTGGACCTCAATGTGGACCAATTTAAAAATGGGGCCCAAAATCCAAAAACTTAATACACGGTTATATTCAGCATATTAAAGAACCCCAAGAATTCAAGAATAAAACCCCATTGAAATTGATCAAGAAATAAGCAATTTATAAGAAGTATCTTCTTTTGCACAATACTGTGCAATTGAATATTTCTTGCTATTGCGCAATACTGTACAATTGACAATTTCTTGCTATTGCGCAATATTGTGCTATTGGATATTTCTTGCTATTGCCCAATACTGTGCAATTGAAGATTTCTTGCTATTGCGCAATACTGTGCAATTGAAGATTTCTTGCTATTGTGCAATACTGTGCAATTGAAAATTTCTTGCTATTGCACAATACTTATTATATAAAAATTTACACATCCTGTTTGGTGTGTATCTCCTACCATATCATTATTATTTGCTTTTAAATATAAATCAGAAATAACCAACTTAAAATGGAAAATTTTAAAAGAAAAAAAAAGGAAAAAAAGAAAAAAAAAGAAAAAAAAAAAAATCCCCCCCCCAAATGTTTTGAACCCCCTTATGATTCATCACCCCCAAACTCAATCCTAGCCTTCCCTTTGTGGTATGGTACCTTGCAGTACAATTTCAGAGAGATCCATACACTTGAACACAAGTTATTGTCTTGAAACTAGAAAAATGCTTATTTTTGGCCCCTTTTTGGGCCCCAATTCCTAAACGTTTCAGGCAATTACCCCTGAACTCAATTCCAGCTTTCCCTTTGTGATATGAAACCTTATATTACAATTTCAGAAATATCCAAACACTTACACACAAGTTATTGTCATGAAACTAGAAAAATGCTTGTTTTTTTCCCCTTTTTTGGCCCCTAATTCCTAAAATTTTGAGGCAATTACCCCCAAAATCAATTACAGCCTTCCCTTTGTGATATGGAACCTTGTGGTACAATGTCAGAGAGATCCATACACTTACACACAAGTTATTGTCTGAAAGTTACAAAAATGCTTATTTTTGGCCCCTTTTTGGCCCCTAATTCCTTAACTGTTGGTACCATAACCCCCAAAATCAATCCCAACCTTCCTTTCGTGGTATTGAACCTTATGGTAAAATTTCATGGAGATCCATTCACTTAAACTAAAGTTAGAGTGCGAAAACCAATGTGTCTTCGGACGACGCCGGACGACGACGACGACGACGACGACGACGACGACGCCAACGTCATACCAATATACGACCAAAAAATTTTTAATTTTTGCGGTCGTATAAAAACTGCAAAATTATGTTAAAACTACCAATTCGGTGGCAGCAACCCAACAATGGGTTGTTCGATTCGTCTGAAAATTTCAGAGCTGATAGATCTTGACCAATTGAACAATTTTACCCCATGTCAGATTTGCTCTAAAAGATTTAGTTTTTGAGATATAAGCCAAAAACTGCATTTGACCCCTATGTTCTATTTTTAGCCATGGCGGCCATGTTTGTCGATGGATCAAAACTTCAGATACAATTTATAAACTAGATACCCTAAGGAACATTTAGTTAAAGTTTGAAGGTATTTGGCCCAGTAGTTTCAGAGGAGAAGATTTTTTAAATAGTTTACGACCACAGACGACAAACAACGACGGACGCATAGTGATGGCATAAGCTCACATGAGGCCCCGGTGAGCTAAAAAGGGGGGATTTTCCAGTTTTTGGACAATAACTCAAAAAAAATTTCACCAATTTGCCAGAAACTTTGGTGAATTGTTTATTTCTATCGACATGAGCTCCCTTTAGATTTTTATAAATTTTAGACTATACGTTTCTGATTTATGGGGTTTTATTCATTACAAAAAGGGGGATTTTCCACTTTTCTGACAATTACTCATAAACGCTTTAACCAATATGCATGAAACTTTGCTGAATTGTTTATATCTATTGACATGAGCTCCCTTTTGTTTTTTATAAATTTTGGATTTACCATTTCCGAGTTTTGGGGTTTTATTCATTAAAAAAGGGGGGATTTTCCAGTTTTTGGACAATTACTCAAAAACAATTTCACCAATTTGCAAGAAACTTTGGTGAATTGTTTATTTCTATTGACATGAGCTCCCTTTTGAATTTTATAAATTTTAGACTATACGTTTCTGATTTATGGGGTTTTATTCATTACAAAAAGGGGGATTTTCCACTTTTCTGACAATTACTCATAATTGCTTTAACCAATATGCATGAAACTTTGCTGAATTGTTTATATCTATTGACGTGAGCTCCCTTTTGTTTTTTATAAATTTTGGATTTACCATTTCCGAATTTTGGGGTTTTATTCATTAAAAAAGGGGGGATTTTCCAGTTTTGGACAATTACTCAAAAACAGTTTCACCAATTTGCCAGAAACTTTGGTGAATTGTTTATTTCTATTGACATGAGCTCCCTTTTGAATTTTATAAATTTTAGACTATAGTTTTCCGATTTATGGGGTTGTATTCATTAAATGAGGGGGGATTTCCCAGTTTTCTGTCAATAACCATAACTCAATAATGATTTGTGCAGTAATTTTTTTCATAAATTTCTGTTATGTATGGAACTTTATTTTTTGTTTATAGTCTGACAACAGATTTACTAAGTATTGCGCAACAGCACAGTGTATTGCACAACAGCAATAAATCTTTAATTGAATATAAATTCAATTCATATAACCAATTTCAAGTTCTTTGTCTACATTTATTCAGAAACCTATAATATGTCAAATATTTAATTACAATCCAAATTCAGACCTGTATCAAGCTTGAATATTGTGTTCATTTTTGCACCAACTGTTCAGGGTTAGACCTCTGCGGGCTTATCCAGCTGCGCTCAGCGAAGCAATTTATTGTTTATGTTTTCAAAATTATTATGCAGGATGATTCTAAAAATGAGAAATTGTCAATATTTTTTTCTTACAATCACTTTTCTCAAATGTACTTATTTCCATGGAAATAAAATGCTCCGCAGGGCGCAGCTTGATACGACCGCAGAGGTCGAACCCTGAACAGTTGGGGGAAGTATGGACACAACATTCAAGCTTGATACAGCTTTGCATTTGGATTGTGATTAAATATTTGACACAGCATAGGTTTCTAACACAGAGTGAATGTGGTCTAAGAACTTAAAAATTTTAAATTGGACATTCACCTATTATGGTCCAATATCCAAAATCTAAATACATGGTTAGATTCAGCATATCAAAGAACCCCAAGAATTCAATTTTTGATGAAATCAAACAAAGTTTAATTTTGGACCCTTTTGACCTCAATGTGGACAAAGTTGATAACGGGGCCCAAAAATCAAAAATCTAAATACATGGTTAGATTCAGCATATCAAAGAACCCCATATATTCAATTTTTGTTGAAATCAAACAAAGTTTAATTTTGGACCCCGATTTGGACCAACTTGAAAACTGGGCCCATAATCAAAAATCTAAATACATGTTTAGATTCAGCATATCAAAGAACCCTAAGAATTAAATTTTTGTTAAAATCAAACTAAGTTTAATTTTGGACCCTTTGGACCTTAATGTAGACCAATTTGAAAACGGAACCAAAAATTAAGAATCTAAATACACGGTTAGATTCGGCATATCAAAGAACCCCAATAATTCAATTTTTGATGAAATCAAACAAAAAAGTTTAATTTTGGACCCTTTTGACCTCAATGTGGACAAAGTTGATAACGGGGCCCAAAAATCAAAAATCTAAATACATGGTTAGATTCAGCATATCAAAGAACCCCATATATTCAATTTTTGTTGAAATCAAACAAAGTTTAATTTTGGACCCCGATTTGGACCAACTTGAAAACTGGGCCCATAATCAAAAATCTAAATACATGTTTAGATTCAGCATATCAAAGAACCCTAAGAATTCAATTTTTGTTAAAATCAAACTAAGTTTAATTTTGGACCCTTTGGACCTTAATGTAGACCAATTTGAAAACGGAACCAAAATTTAAAAATCTAAATACACAGTTAGATTCGGCATATCAAAGAACCCCAATAATTCAATTTTTGATGATATCAAACAAAAGTTTAATTTTGGACCCTTTAGACCTCAATGTGGACCAATTTAAAAACGGGGCCCAAAATCCAAAAACTACATACACGGTTAGATTCAGCATATTAAAGAACCCCATGAAATCAAGAAGAAAACCCCATTGAAATTGGTCAAGAAATAAGCAATTTAAAGGAAGTATCTTCTTTTGCACAATCCTGTGCTATTAAATATTTCTTGCTATTGCGCAATACTGTACAATTGACAATTTCTTGCTATTGCGCAATATTGTGCTATTGGATATTTCTTGCTATTGCACAATACTGTGCAATTGAAGATTTCTTGCTATTGCGCAATACTGTGCAATTGAAGATTTCTTGCTATTGTGCAATACTGTGCAATTGAAAATTTCTTGCTATTGCACAATACTTATTATATAATAATTTACACATCCTGTTTGGTGTGTATCTCCTACCATATCATTATTATTTGATTTTGAATATAAATCAGAAATAACCAACTTAAAATGGAAATTTTAAAAGAAACAAAAAAGGAAAAAAAGAAAAAAAAGGAAAAAAAAATAAATCCCCCCCAAAATTTTTTGAACCCCCATTATGATTCATCACCCCCAAACTCAATCCCAGCCTTCCCTTTGTGGTATGGTACCTTGCAGTACAATTTCAGAGAGATCCATACACTTGAACACAAGTTATTGTCTGGAAACTAGAAAAAAAATGTGTTTTTTGGCCCCTTTTTGGCCCCAAATTCCTAAACGTTTAGGGCAATTACCCCCAAACTCAAACCCAGCTTTTCCTTTGTGATATGGAACCTTGTAGTACAATTTCAGAAAGATCCATACACTTACACACAAGTTATTGTCATGAAACTAGAAAAATGCTTGTTTTTTGCCCCTTTTTTGGCCCCTAATTCCTAAAATTTGGAGACAATTACCCCCAAAATCAATCCCAGCATTCCTTTAGTGATATGTAACCTTGTGGTACAATGTCAGAGAGATCCATACACTAACACACAAGTTATGTCTGGAAGTTACAAAAATGCTTATTTTTGGCCCCTTTTTGGCCCCTTATTCCTTTACTGTTATTACCATAACCCCCAAAATCAATCCCAACCTTCCTTTTGTGGTATTGAACCTTGTGGTAAAATTTCATAAAGATCCATTCACTTAAACTAAAGTTAGAGTGCGAAAACCAATGTGTCTTCGGACGACGCCGGACGACGCCGGACGACGACGACGACGCCAACGTCATACCAATATACGACCACAAAAATTTTTTTGCGGTCGTATAAAAACTGTGAATTAATCTGTTACCCTGATATACATGATATAAATCACTGTATCTACAAAGAGAAAATCAGAATTTTCCTGTCTCCTTTCTTTTAACATGTTTAAAAGAAAAATCCAGTTAAATTTGTTTCCGTAAAAAGGATTTTATAAAACTACATTTATATTACAAATGATAGGCTATAATATGTCAAATATTAAATTAATAGGGGAAGATTGTGTACTAAAATACTAGTTTGACGTTGACCCTACCACATATTTATGGTCATATCTTAAGTCATTCACATAGACCTTCAGATCTTATCTGTATCCCATCATGTTTCTTTGTTAGGTAAACCAAAGTTGGAATTGCTATCAGATACTAAGTCATCTTTAATGAATTTATTCACAGCTTGCCCAGAAGTGAGAGCTCACAGCTGCATGCATATGGTTCTAGCATTAATTCATTACTGAGGATTATATGGTGTCCTCTTAATTTTTTTTGTTTTTTTTGGGGGGGGGGTAACTTTTGTTGGTTGGTTGCTGTCCTCTTATCATTAATCCTAAGTCTCTTTTATAAATATTAGAGATCGTTCTATGATTGTAGGTGATTGAAATACTTCTCTGTATACATGGTATATTTAATCAATAGTATGTGATAGGGTCATAAATCTGAGTGGTTGCACTTTAAATCACCAGCAATTACACAGTTTCATTGGGATTCACTCTGCACCAGAAAGAGTGATTTTAAACAGAATCATGATCAATCATATTTTAAAAGTGTGCTGTAGCTGTGTAGGTCATGTGTATGTTATTAACATGATTTAGGCACCTTCTATTTTTAATGGCAAAAGTCAGGTAATATTTGAGTTTGAAAAGACACCAAGGCGGCAATCAAAAACCATAAGTCAAAGAAAAAATATGAATTACCCCAAAAGAAAAAAGACAAACGACAGTGCACAAATCACTACAAATAAAACTAAAGATTGAGTCATTCACTAACACCACCAAAAACCAGGGATGAATTCAGGCGCTCCTGAGGGGTAACATAGTTCAAGCTCCACTGGCTGCTGATGTTTAGTTTATGACAAGTGAAAATCTAGTGATTATTGTTTTTACATTTTTACGATAAGGAATTAGTAGCACCATTTACCTTTTCTAGAAGATAACACCTCTTAAATCATGTAAATACTTAGGTGTTCAAACCAAATCCAAACAGGTCAATAAATAGAGTAATATCGTTGATACTTTCATAAAAATACTTACCTTTATCATAATCAGATTTATAGAGTGGTCTGAGTTTTAACATTTCTCCTGGGTTCTGTGGTGATATATTTGGATTGTATGTTGCTCTTGACTTGCTTTCAAAGTCTAGTTCTCGCAGAACGCTAGGATCAAAGATAGGTTCATCTTCAACTCCATTTGCCTATTTAAAGAAAAATATATAATGATAGTAATTATCTATTAGTTTAAAAAGAAACCACAACAGGGGGTCCTTAATATATGCCCACTGATTGAAAAACAGTCACTGTATGCTTAATCATAGGGTTCGTTTCAATAAATGTTTCAGAATGAATGATACTAAAAACCTTCCAAAAATAATTTGAAGCCAGTATTTTAGGATTTTGTTGAATTTTATTTATTCAACCTACATTCATTTTTACATGACCTATATATGTAGAAAAAAATAAAGTAAACATTATTTCAAATCTTTAAATTAAAAAAAATATCAATGTTGGTAGTCTTCCATCATTTGATGCCAATATTGATTGAATGTACAATTTTTTCTGCAGTTTTTCAAACTGATTTTTTCATCCTGCATGAACATCAATGAAACTGGATTTTTTTTTAAGGAAATACACAATCTGAATTCTGATTATAAATTTCATAAAGATCTGACAAAAATGTAGGTGTTGGTGCACTTACAAGTCAAGATGGATTGATCATGTATAAAAAAATTATAATATACATGATATATGTCATTAGTCCTACTTTGCAGCAGGGACAAAAATAGCATTCAGCACATGTTCAGGAGGTTCATATTATTTGGAAATCGAAAGTGTGAGACAGATGAATATCTACCAATATAAGATTGAATAAAATGCTCCGCTGGGCGCAGCTTGATATGACCACAGAGGTCGAACCCTGAACAGTTGGGGCAAGTATGGACACAACATTCAAGCTTGATACAGCACTGAATTTGGATTGTGATTAAATATTTGACACAGCATAGGTTTCTGACACAGAATGAATGTGGTCTAAAAACTTACCTATTGAAATCATATCATTATTATTTGCTTTTAAATATAAATCAGAAATAACCAATTTAAAATGGAAAATTTTAAAGAAAAAAAAAGGAAAAAAAATCCCCCCCTCAAAATTTTTTGAACCCCCTTATGATTCATCACCCCCAAACTCAATCCCAGCCTTCCCTTTGTGGTATGGTATCTTGCAGTACAATTTCAGAGAGATCCATACACTTGAACACAAGTTATTGTCTGGAAATTAGAAAAATGCTTGTTTTTTGGCCCCTTTTTGGCCTCAAATTTCTAAACGTTTAGGGCAATTACCCCCAAACTCAAACCCAGCTTTCCCTTTGTGATATGGAACCTTGTTGTACAATTTCATAAAGATCCATACACTTACACACAAGTTATTGTCCTGAAACTAGAAAAATGATTGTTTTTTGCCCCTTTTTTGCCCCTAATTCCTAAAACTTTGAGGCAATTACCCCCCAAAATCAATTCCAGCCTTCCCTTTGTGGTATGGTATCTTGCAGTACAATCTCATAGAGATCCATACACTTGAACACAAGTTATTGTCTGGAAACTAGAAAAATGCTTATTTTTGGCCCCTTTTTGGCCCCTTATTCCTAAACGTTTAGGGCAATTACCCCCAAACTCAATTCCAGCTTTCCCTTTGTGATATGGAACCTTGTAGTACAATTTCAGAAAGATCCATACACTAACACACAAGTTATTGTCATGAAACTAGAAAAATGCTTTTTTTTTTGCCCCTTTTTTGGCCCCTAATTCCTAAAATTTTGAGGCAATTACCCCCAAAATCAATTCCAGCATTCCCTATGTGATATGGAACCTTGTGGTAAAATTTCATAGAGATCCATTCACTTAAACTAAAGTTAGAGTGCGAAAACCAATATGTCTTCGGACAACGACGCCGGACGATGACGACGACGCCAACGTCATACCAATATACGACCGCAAAAATTTTTTGCGGTCGTATAAAAAGTAGAAAATTATGTACATTGTATATATATATATAGTACCAGAAGTCCATTACTAGAGGAAGTGTGCAACCCGCTATATAGTATAGGCGATCACGATTTCCCCTTACTTCTATCAGTGGCAGAAATGGGATTTGAGCCAGATTTCTATTAATAGTAACAAAAATCTATGGCCAATTTTTTTCAATGCATTCTGGGTAGAGATAATTTATGCAAAACACCCTATAATTTAATTAGCACACAGTTGAAAATAATGTTTGACCATCTGGTAATGTCTTGTTAATGAATAGCAGATCGTAGATGCCATATAATATTATAATATATGTATAATATTACAGTGTCATGAGCCATGATGTTGATTTTAATATTAAATAATAAAAATGTTGGCCGTATTATTTATCAATTTAAAAACTACAATTATTACCGTAGAAAAATTGTCAGAATTTAAAAATCTTACATCTTAATACAATGCATGTTCAGTTTCAGAGTTAACTGTGAAAAATCGCCATAAAAAAATTGACAAGAAAAAATCAGGTCGGAAAATCGTGCAACACTACAGTACAAGTAACACTGGATGAGGAAAGATGGTTAATAGGAATAAACATTCTTTTATCATGATTATATTTATTTTAAGTATGTAATACGTTTTACAAATTTTAAGAGATAAGAGTTTTTTTTAAATTGCATGAAAATTCTGCAGATATAAACATTTTTAGCAAAATTAACAAATTGAACACTCAATTTTGAAAATAAAAAGAGGGAAAAATAATTGTATGCCCTTTATTCAATTCGAATATCTTCAATCCTGCATAAGATCTTGATGGCAATACTACCTCGGATAATGGTGTGGATGGACAAAGGTTATATATCATTTCAGTCAGATATTGTAATATTAATCAGTCAAAATATATGTTAAGAAATGCAGATCACAACACGCGTGTTTGACATATAAATGCTATAGGTTGAAGTTGTAGGAATAGTTGCGATCACAATATTTGTAAATATGTAAGTAACAAATCATATATAATCTTTATGTAAGTATACTTCATACTGAAATAGCTTCCTTGGTGATGTAAATAACCAAGACATAATTGGACCACCAAAAGTGCTTTCCACTGATAACGGGGACAGTGTGATCGCCCATCTATATAGTACAGCCAGCACACTTTCTCTAGTAATGGACTTCTGATAGTACAAAATAGGGGCTTTATACATGTATTATTTCCCCCCTATTTCGATCATTTATTTCTAGAACTTCATTATAAATAAATTTTGTTAAATCTTTTCTTTATATCATATCCTATCTTAAATCTTTTATGCTATGTATTTTACCAGCTTTTTAAGTATGCTTACATGTAGTTTACATTTTTTATTTGCTTTTAGCGTGTTTAGCTTTTTTATCTAGCTTTATCTCATGCTTAAAAATCTGCTTAATTTTCGACAAACTTTAACATACTCTTTTCAAATAATAAGCATTAATAGCCATTATACAACAAGACAACAAAATATAATAAAAATCAGAGCGAACGGACCCAGAGTGAAAGGACCAAGGGCGAACAGGTATTAGGGCGAACAGGTACTAGGGCGAACGTGAATCAGAGCGAACGGACCCGGATTCCTTGTTATGTATTATATTGTCATGCCTTGTATGTTGGTTAAAAAGCTCAATACTTACTACAGCTTATTAATTATTAATTCATGCAGGGGAATGTGTTTGGACTAACAGTAGTAGATAGTTACAGTATCATTAGACCCAATTGTTGGGACCATTAATACTTATAGTATATGTCAGCTGACATCTTTTTATTCCATTTTTGCTTCCCATTTCCTGGAAACTATTAAGTCTATTTCTACAAAGTAAAGTATCTTATTTCATGGATTTTTCTATTATAACTTTAACTGTAACAATGGTTTTGGTGGTTTTGTTTTTCATCTCATTTTAAATAAAATTTATTTTGACTGTTTGTTTACCTTTTTCTTATTGGTTGTCATAATTTATCAGACTACCACAGTCCCTTTTCTTCTTTCGGGAGTGATGAAATTTACACGTCACGGATTTTCACCCGATTTGTTTCCGGATTTTAATTATTTAGTCTCTTAATAATATTTCTAAAGGGTACTTTCTGAAGTCTATGATAAAATAGTGAAAATAAAGAAAATACATTATACCTTGAACTTTCTTTTTAAATCAAGTCCATAAATGTAGATTGTTTAATATGCTTCTACCTTTTTGTTTAGAGATTATGTTAAATATGGCTGCGCCCATGAGATTATTTGACCTCATTATTTCTATAACTCCAAAACCGATATAGTTTACTGTATATTCCCCTTGCTGTATAAAGAAATGTCTGTGATCAATATTTTTCGATATACTGAAATGACAGCTTGTCGTATGTGTTTGAAAAGAAAAATCTTATTACAATGCGCTAAATTCAACAGTCGAATTATCAAAAGTATTGATACTTTCCCTGAAATTAATAGAACAAACCATCAATCCATGGAATTTGCCAGACTTGGGATTTCATTAAACACTCGTAATTTATCCAACAACAAATACTTGACACAGCAACTATCAAAGGACAATGGCTTTCGCATGGGACATGCATATACGGGTCAAATTAAGCTTCTTAAAAACAATGTTCAATACTACCGAGGTTTGATTCAGACATTTTCAACCACAAGTGCTTATAACAGATCATCAGATACACCCCACACTCCTGACCAAGATACATCAAAGGAGATTGAAGATATTGTATGTTTATGTAAGACAACAAATACATGTAATACTCAACAGTCGGAGCTCTGACATAAACAAGACTAAATATACCTAAACTGTCAACCTTTTTGGGCCATGCACCCATATTTAAAAGTTGAGCATCCACATGACAATGTTAAAAATACCATCCACAAACACTTTTTTAACAACATAAAATATGAATTAGACCTTAAAAAACAGAATCATATGACATTAACCATTTAATGTAAGTATGTATTTGTGATAAATTGTAAAAAATATTGTGTATAAACAATGGATTTACTTGAAAACCAGCATGAAAAGATAAGACTTTGGTATTGTTATGCATCATACAAATATTCATGGTAACTTACTGATAAGCAGATATAAGGTTTGCTACAAATCTTAAATAGTTAATACTGAAACTTCACAATTCACTGAACAGAATTTGACCTGAAAAAGTCAGACATATTCTGACTTTATAAAGTCTAAAAATGCTTTTATTCCTTTGTAACAGTGCATAATCTGACTTTCATAAGTCTTGACAATTCTGACTTGTTTATGTCAGAGCTCTGACTGCTCAATATAATGTAGGGATGTCAACATAAGCAACTTTCTTAAAACTATGTCGCTTATCATGACTTATCTTTATAGTAATAAAATGTCAAGTTTCAACCACAGAATATATACAACCTTGATGCATTTTTATTATGCAATATGCTTGATCATTGTGATTGTGATGTAGAATATTTTTCTTTGATTTTCCATACTAACATGACTAAGCCAAAAACAGATGTTTTAGAAATCTTTTGTTTATACTGGATCAATCAGTTCTATGGAATGGACTACCATACAAAACGTGTAAAGTGCAAAATAAATTTACTTTTAAACAAAGTATCAAGAAGTACTTAACACAATCCTGCTGGTAATTGTTATTAGAATGTTATTAGAATGCATTCAGGAACCTCTGGCCTTAGTTAGTCTTGTATTTTTTAAAAATTTTGGTTCATTTATATATTTGGGAGTTTAGTGTGACGTCCATTTTCTCTGAACTAGTACACATTTTTGTTTAGGGGCCAGCTGAAGCCCGCCTGCGGGTGCAGGATTTTCTCACTGTGTTGAAGACCCATTGGTGGCCTGGGGCAGTTTTCTGTTCTTTGGTAGTGTTGTTGTCTCTTTGACACATTCCCTGTTTCCATTCTCAATTTTATTGATAAGTTCATAATTAGATAATGTATTTTCTGGTTACTGTTTTTAGAAAGTATTGTTTTAATTTGTATATTATATTTTCAATTTTTTTTAATACATGTACAACACATGTACAACACATGTACAACACATGTACAAGAGAGTCACAAGATACCAAAGGGATATCCAAACTCATAAGTTAAAGATAAACTGACAATGCCATGGCAACAAATGAAAGTCGACCAAAAGAAAAACAATGCACATCACAGAAAACTAAAGACTCAGCAACATGAACCCCACCAAAATCTGAAGTTGATCTCAGGTGCTCTGGAAGGGTTAGCATTAGCAATTATCTTGTAGTTTTTATATTTTTTAATCTGTTCACATTTAAAACATGTACCTACTTTTTGTATTTATATAATCATGATAATGCTTATTTAAAAATCAGAAGTTCACATACATTTTTTTTAATGTTTTTCAGAAAGAAAAAATTATAAATATACCAAATGTGTTAACAATGTCAAGAATAGTGGCAACACCGTTCCTGGGATATCTAGTCATACAAGAAGCTTATACTCCAGCATTTTGTATATTTGTGGTTGCAGGATTGACAGATGTAGTAAGTGAGATAACAAGTGACACAACACATTTCTCCACTGTTAGGTATTAACTGAATGTCAGCATTTATCAAGCACATGTACTACATGGGACATTAGCCATACCATATTTTGGTAAAAAGAAAAAAACAAAGTATTATGCAAATATTACTCAGACATTTATGGTAGAAAAGTGACTAAAAGTGTTGAGGTAGTATGAAATTGCACAGATGGTCGCCCGTCAACATGTTCAAAATGATAATTTTCAAGCTACAGGCTTTTTGAAATTCTTATATTTTGTATGGTCTATAATAACAGTAACAATACCAATTTTACTGCAACAGATGCACATTTCAACAGTTTTTGTCTCTTCAGTAATGCTCGGTTCCATAATATTTGAAAATCCAAAACCTAATACAAACCTTGAAGAGCTGAAATAACCAAAAAGAACCAAAAATAAAGCCAAACTGGGACAAGGAATAAGAACTATGCATGAAGGATATATTCCTTAATTTTAAATGATTTCGAAATTTATGACACACTATTATTATGTGACTAGAAAAGAAACATAAATTATAAAATTTTGCAATTAAACGTGAGCAGTTAGCTCTTATAAATTGATTCCAGTAAGGTAAGCTAAAAGACAAAAATGGGTCACCCAACTCATTTTTGCTGCTACATACATGTACAACAAAATAAAGGAATCATTTTTTAGAACAAAATTATTGGAGTTATCTCCCCTGATAAAGCAATTTAAATTTATATTTTTTTTAATCACTAAGAAGTCTTTATTTGTAAAGAACGTTACTACTACTTCATGATAAATGATAAATTAATATGAAATAAATTATTTAAACATGTTTAAAGAAAAGTCCTATGCATTAATTGTATTTTTACTTCAAAATCTGTTCATTTCAGGAAAAACTCAGATTGATCATTTGCAGGTAATTGCAAGATTTCCATGAATTTTCCCTATTTGAGTGTCAAAGTATAAAAACATGGAAAAGCAAATACATAAACAAAGGTGTTTAGAGTTGTCAGTAAACATTTGAAGTTTATTTGTTTGTCCACTAAAAAAATTGATGCAGTATCCTTAGAAGAAAAAAAAAACGTTATTGAACCCCTACATGCAATAGTTCCCCTACAATATCAGAGTACTGTTAGCAGGTCTACAAAGAGCTTTTTATTTTTTTCTTGATATTTTATATGCAGAAGAAAATTTATGCTTTGTGTTCTGTGCATGGAAATCATACATTTTCTTTAACATGTTTAAGCAGGCGTGTCAATTGTATGTTTTTTTTTCTCTCAGTTAGATGGCTACATTGCTAGGAATTTTAATCAGATGACAGTTCTTGGGTCAGCTTTAGATCCTCTAGCAGATAAATTACTGGTCAGTGTATTGACAGTCACACTGACAATGTCCAGTTTGATGCCAGGTAAAAATTTAATATACAAATTTTGAATGTGATAAAATATTTTTTTAATCAGGACAATAAAGTTTAGGTATGGTAAACATTTGTGATGAAGGATATGGGATAGACTGTACACAAAGTAAAATAACATTGAAATATAACTTTCACAAAGAGACAATGTTTTTATGTTATAGATATTATTCTGAAACATTCACTGGAAAGTCTTTGGAGAAAGTCAAATTACAATTACCTATATTATTTACTTCAACAGCGTTATGGTGTTTTTAGGGGAGCGAAATATGACCAATTCTAATATGACGTGCTTCTTTCACTTTGTAAACAACACCGTGATAAAATTCCCGATATATCTATACTTAGCGCAGACTCAGAGATATACATAATAATGGATGTTACAATATACCTCCCTCGTAAATCCACATGTATTGGAACCTATTTGCAAATGCTATGCCGATTTTATTGTTTTAAAAATTGCAATTGAAAAAAGACTACAGAGCTTTTTTTCTTATTCGGATGCATAACAAAAAGAATTAATGCATAAGAGCTCGGAGAAATCTACAAAATCAAAATAAAATAAAATTCCGCGAAAGTCCATTAATGCTTTTGGCACATTTAAGTCACTTCAAAACATGACGTCATACAAATGAAAACGCTAAAGCTGAAGGTTTTTCCGTTATGTGAACCATCGAAATTCATAATTTATATATAATATAATAGTATAATATTACATTAAAATGGATTTTTGAGGTAGGTGTTGTTTCATTTTCTATTTTATTGCATTATTCGCATATTTACTGATTTCAGCAAGTCAACATGGCGGTTCCTTAGTTACGAAATGTCAACTTTGGATTTGACGGTAGCTTACGAGAAAAACATGTAAATTAAAAATGGCAAATGTTGGGTTTGAGAATTAAAAGAATTAAGCACATTTTTTCTAGCGGTTGTTTACGAAATTATTCATGCAAGCTACAGATTTATTAGAATGTTTTAGCTTTATCTAACAGGGAGTAAAAAAGAACAGCCACACACACGGCATACCCACCCTCGCTTCAGTTTTTTAATGACCGTATTTGTCCTATTAGAATCGAAATAATTCATGAAAGCCATAGATTTGTTGGAAATTTACACATGGCCTGGGCCGTGATATTCGTTAATTTTATCCCTCGCTAACGCTCAGGATAAAATTCGAATATCACGGCCCATGCCATGTGTAAATTTCCAACAAATCTATGGCTTTCATGAATTATTTCTTAATTCTTATTTACTATAAATTCAGAAATTATTGCGGGCATTTATTATTGCGAATTTGTCATTTTAGACTAAAATGCGATTTAAATTTTTGCGATATTGAGAAAAATTCCGTTTAATTCATATAAAAAATTTCAAAATGCGAGTTTAAATTATTGCGATTATAACCCTGTCGCAAATTTTCGCAATAATAAAAAACATCGCAATAATTTCTGAATTTACAGTACTTAATGTAGATTTTTATACATCATGTACTTTCAAGAAGATGTATTTATACATGTTTTTTTTCATAGCCTTGATTTTCTTCCTCAGAAGGAATATTTAAAAAAATTCTTATGATTATTTTTTTAAACGTCATTGTTATTGTGTTGTTCCTTCAACATGTTTGAATCATATATTTTAGACTGTTCAGTGCCTTGAACATTGATGATACTTGGAAAGGTTGTGCTATTAATTATTTCTTTACTGTAGCATACATCTGTTAGTTTTTTTTGTGCCTTTTGCAGCAGTGATATGAAGAAAGAAAATGTTTTTAATTTTTTCTAATCTATATCTGTTATATTTTCAGTGCCGTTAGCAGCAGTGATATTAGGAAGAGATGTTTTATTAATTCTTGCTTCATTGTATTTCCGTTACATATCTTTACCTCCTCCAGTAAGTATGCCTGTAGTTTGAATTCTAACAATGTAATAATATTTAGTATTTAAAAAAAATAAGACCTTGTATTACCTGCAATAAATTTCAATACTGGGATAGTTGTTTTAATGTGGAGGTTGATAAAGTAATATCATCATGATGTGTATGCAGATTTTTTATATAATTTAATGGAAACATCCCTACAGACACGTACCATGGTATCTACTTCTAGGATAGTTACTCTTTCGCATATCAAGTGTTAGTTCAGTAATACATGTATCTTGATTCATTATAAAATTTTAAAGCTTTGGCCTCATAGACTAGAAAGGAAAAACCAAAAAGTTTGAATAAAGTTTTGTAATCTAAATGTTTACAGTTAAATGTATGTTCAAAAATAAAAATGAAAGCTACATCAGGTGTAAAGTTGTCATGTAAAGTAAACAGAGATATTTTTATGTTTTTACAGTACCTGAAAAATAGATTGAGAGTTGTACTGGTAAATACTGGCTTTTCATATAATTGTAAGCTTTAGGTCTGAAACTTCAATTCATAAATTTATTGATTTATCAGAATGCTAGACTAATAAAATTAATATCTAATACCGGTACTATTGTAAATGCATAGCAATTTCAAAATAGTATATATTGCCTTATTTTTACTTTTTTCTTCATAAATACATGTATTATCATATTCATACTGCAGCTAAATATCTTAAGTATGTATTCAGGGGTAAAAAAGAATATTTTTTTTCTGCGTACATGATACAAGCTTGCTTTATGACAGTCACATGTTTCTATGGAGTTTGCTATCGATATTTATAGTATATTGCACATGTTTACAGATTTTTCAAGTCCAAATTCTGCAACTTTCACCAAAAATCTATTTTGTTCAAAGGAAAATGATGCACTATGGTGGCCAATGCCTCCTGCTTTTGTATAATCTGTCTGTTGGTTGCAGTAGTTTGTGTTTGATAATTTTCACAAGTGTCACATAACGTAATAATAGCTAATTGAATTAATTTTTTGAGTGGTTATATTTGATATTTTGGTAATATTGATTTTTGTGATTTTTTATTTTACAAAGAGGACATTTTCAATTTTTATATATAAGAAGATGTGGTATGAGTGCCAATGAGACAACTCTCCATCCAAGTCACACTTTGTAAAAGTAAACCATTATAGGTCAAAGTACAGCCTTCAACAGGGAGCCTTGGCTCACACCGAACAGCAAGCTATAAAGGGCTTTGCATAAATATTAGTTTGTAAACACAAAGTAAATCACAGCTGATATTGAAGTTGAAGTAATCCATGCAGATTTGGTTCATTACATACATGTATAAAGTTGTGCATTTTAAAGGCCATTTTCTCAAGTAAATTATTTCATATATTTCATGTCATGGCCTTTTATAGCTGACTATTCGGTATGGGTAACTCTGATTGTTGAAGGATGTATGGTTGCCTATAATTGCTTACATCCACCTCATTTGAACTTTGGTGGATAGTCGTCTCATTTGCAATCATACCACATCTTTTATTTTTATCTTCTGTTGATTTTATTTTAGAGTTACTTCCCTTTGTTACATAAGACAAAATGACAAACTGTGTATTGCTACCTCAGACAAGTGGAAAAGCAGGGAAATAGATCATATGGCTAGACACTATTGATACTTCTTCTGTTTCAAATTTTTTCAAACATAGTTTTATATTTCTGAAAAATTTTACACTATGAAGTACGTTATTTTTTTTTATGAAATAATTTGGAATTATTACATGGTTACTTTCAGAAAACATTTTCCAGATACTGTGATGTTACTAATGCTACAGTCAAACTTCATCCTTCCAATATAAGCAAGGTATTTATATTTACTTTACATGGTAATATTTATCTTCTAACATAATAGGTATCTGAAAATGTTTGTATGGTATGCTATTTATACTCAAATGTTTCCGAAGTCAACTTTATATACTGTATACTCAGGATACAGGTTTTTTTTGTATACAATGTTGCATGTTTATTTTGTTTAGACGATTGTTAAATGGACTGTTAAATAAAATAAACTCATTAAAGATACCATATATGCCAGACCGCTTTTAATCTACAAAAGACTCATCAGTTATTAGTTGAATTTAAAAGAAGTTAAAAGGCATACTAAATTATAAGAAAAAGAGCATAGGAGATCGTAATAAGATTGTACAGCTGTAGGAAAATTTTTCTTAAAAACTATATTCTGGCTATTCCTACATGTCCTAGATGTATTTAAACCTCCACAAAAATATGAAATATTTATAGAATAATGTTTGTATCGTTTAGCATTGAGTACGAAAATCAGTAGCAAAGAATATTTCATGACTCAATTGATATTTTATTTTACATACCGGTAGTCATTACTAAACATAAAATTATTCTTATTATTTTACTTTCTGTCGATTTTAAACCAAACCAGTATAAAAAAAAAACAATCTCAAAATATCAATTGTTTAACTATAGCATGAAATGGAAGAATAATCCTTTATTTCATAAAGCACTTTAGGGATGGAGACCACTTCCGTATTGCATATATTTCTGTCTGCTAATGTGAACGTACTATTGACTCTGCAACAACATTTGTACTGCCTATCAGGCAATGCGATGCTTTTCCATATAAAGCATTTCAACTGTATGTAGAAATAAGTATTTAATCATCAAAGAACATTCGTACAGAAAGTATAGTAAATAAAAAAAGTAAAAGCAATGTATACAAATTTTTATAAAAAATTAAAACTTTTTTATCAAATTGATAAGTGTAAAATGAAAGACACAAGATTAAATCCAGTTGTCATTTATATGATAATTCGCAATAAATAACTGAATGTAAAATGATTTGTTTTTCAGCTAAATACCTTTTTACAGTTGACATTAATAGCATCATCTTTAGCAGCTCCAGTGTTTGGGTTTGTGGATCATGTAGCACTACAGTCTTTGTGGTAATTAATCTCTTTAAATTTACATACTGAAAAATATACCTTTATAAAAATAAGGAGGTGTGGTGTGGTTACCAATGAGACAACTTTTTACTATAGTCTTTCCCATGCTGCCATTTATATTGATTTTCATGATTTTGTGTATAATCTTTAACTAAGAAATTTATAACTCCTTGAAAAATAATGATATTCTGTTTGCATTGGTAAGTGTAAATGTAAAAATACAAAATAAGAAAAAAATGGTCATATTTGAAAAAGAGAGGCAAAAGATACCGAAGTGACATTCAAACTCATAAGTGGAAAATAAACTGACAACGCCATGGCTAAAAAAGAAAAAGACAAACAGACAAACAGACAAACAATAGTACACTAAACACAACATAGGACCCCAATGTGGACCAATATTGAAACGGGTCAAACAATTATATAGAATGTCCAGCTGGTAGTGACCAGTATTATTTAATCTGTGCATCCAACTGTTAGTCTGTCATTTCATCTTTTCCCTATCAGATTTAAGTTTTATTTAAAGTAAAGTTAGAATATTTATCTTTATGTAGTTTACCATGAGGTTGAATCACAGCAACTTGAATTTAGTACACATGTTTATTCTAGTGTGAGAGCAAACTTTAGTACATATGTTTATTTTGGTGTGGGGCCTCGTTGGCCAAGTGATCTAAGTAGCTTACCTTCTGTATAATTAGCCTGTCAACAAAGAGGTTGTGAGTTTGAACCTACACATGGCAGTTGTGTTGGACTCCAATCATAATTGACTAGAATTGCCAGTTTACGTGCTGAATGCCTGTTTTCGCCAGGTTTTCAGGGTTACTCTACCACTAGAAATAAGTCCCCATGTGGGCAGAAAATGACGATTTAACACCAACTCAATCAATCAAATACTTTTGAAATATATGCCAAATTTGGATTTTGACCACATGCACTTGTCTCTGACAAAAATTATCTCTATGTCAAATATTTAAAACAAGAAAATTCAAAGGCTTGATTTATGAGAAAACACAATAAACTAAAAGCATATAACACTACAACCAATGACAACCACTGAGTTACAGGCTCCTGTTATTATGAAGATTTAATAATATTTATTACATTCAATGCATAGACCAGTATATAAATAACACATAGCTGAGAGGGTGATAGAGCAGATTGTTCCCTCGAGAAAACATTGTTAACTGCGGCGAAGCCAAGGTTGACAATGCCTTTTCGAGGGGTAATAGTCTGCTCTATCACCCTTTTAGCTATGCGTTATTTACTTTATTATACTGAATGTTCTCTGTTATTTACTGTCTGTTAAGTTTCACGTCTTGTACATAAGTCATCCCTGTTTAGTAAAGCACACAAATGATCAAGCGTCTTTGTGAAGGGTAATAGAGTATTTGCCATGGGATAGAGTAAATTGTCTACCTCGTATTAATCAATCAGAATCCTGTGTTTTGACATGAAGTATAATAATATTAATTATTTTTGCAGGTATTTGACAGGAACAACAACAATTGCCTCAGGTGTTGGTTACTATAGAAACAGACATCAAAGTGTAGAAATATTACAGGATAAAATGAAGCATTGATTGTGATTTCATGATTTACTGATAGATGTGTGTAAATGATAGAAAATAGACATATCTGTGAAAGAATGATGGTTTTCATACCATTCAAATGGAGGTTATTACATAACCAGAAATGATATATGTAGTTCAAATTTAGCTTATGGAGCATACAGATTTACAAATGTAAAAGATTGAAGTGATATGTGATATTACATAATAAGAAATGCAACTTATCAAAGAGCTCATGGGAGTAGAAAATTTCAGTGCTAAGCAAAATGTGTTTGCAAAAACTTTATTAAATGTAGTTTTTCTTTGGTGCTGTTTTAATGTGATAAAACTAATACATTATGTTACCTAGATAAAGAGACTTTTTCATGCTAAAAGTCACAGCTTATCAAATATAAGATTTACAGTTTATAAACCCTTTCCAAAGTTGGGCACTTCTTTGGCTGTAGAGGGTAGCTAGTTTGTGTCATCTTTCAACTGTAACAGTTTTCCTTCAAAATCATTTAAACTGTGCACTTTAATGGCACTCATCACCAAGTCTTGGCTCACGTCATTGTCAAAAACTTTAAAAAAACATTTTCCTCTGAAACTTTTGAGTCAAATGTTACCAAACTCTACCTGATGTTCCTTGGGGTATGCTATTAAAAATTTTACCCTTGGATTTGATCCAACAACAAACATGGCCACTGTTGCTAAAAATAGAACTTAGGGGTAAAATGCAGTTTTTGGCTGATATCTCAAAAACTTAAGCAGTTAGAGCAAATCTAACATAGGTATGATAGATCATCATGTCAATGTCTATCTCAGGCAGAATTTTCAGATAATTGTTACTCCTGAAATGTCAATTTTTAATAAATTTCAAAGTTTTTGGCTTATATCTCAAAACCTAAAACAGTTAGGATTTTATGAGACTGTCATACAAGTGAGAGGTTTAGCTAGCTATAAAACCAGGTTTAATCCACCATTTTCTACATAAGAAAATGCCTGTACCAAGTCAGGAATATGACAGTTGTTTTCCATTCGTTTGATGTGTTTTAGCTTTTTATCTTGCCAATTGTTAAGGGACTTTCCGTTTTGAATTTTCCTTGGAGTTCAGTATTTTTGTTGTTTTACTTTTAAGAGCAAATCTGACTGGGTCGAATTGAACAGCAGGTCAAAGTTTTTTCTATTGTTGAAATTGCAGAAAGATCTGACGACCCATTTTAGAGTTATTTCCCCTGAAATATCATTTTCTTTAGAAATTCTTTACAATCTATTTTTACATTAAAAACGTCCTGAACAATAAGATCTATAATTAAGTCAACTTGGCAGAAATGTTAAATGACCTGGATCTTTATTGGATTCCTAAACTACATAAGTGTCCTTACAAACAACAGTATATTGATAGGTCTTCCAAATGCTCCACGAAACCTCTTTCTAAATTATTGTCATCAATTTTATCAACAATCAAAACCGGGCTACAAAGTTATTGTGAATCTACCTATTCTAGAGGTGGCGTGAATCAGATGTGGATACTTAAAAAATCTGAAGATCTGAAGAGTACATACGATCTAAGACTCTTTCATTTTGCAATAGTATTAAAAGATTTGACTTTTCTAAACTTAACACAAGTATTCCCCGTTCAAAACTAAAAGACATATTGAAAGAGTTGGTCCTGCTTTGTTTCATAAAAAAGAATGGCCAACATAGATACAAGTATCTTGTCTTAGGGAGGGATAAATCCTACTTTGTAAAAAATCACTCTGATTCCAACAAAAATTTCTCTGAAACTGACATTATCAAGATGCTTGATTTCTTGATTGACAACGTATTTGTTATGTTTGGAGGACGTGTTTTTCAACAAACAATCGGCATTCCCATGGAGACAAACGGTGCCCCTCTTCTTGCCGACTTGTTCCTTTATTTATATGAGGCTGATTTCATACAGGAACTTCTTAGGAAGAAAGAAAAGAAGTTGGCAGTATCCTTTAACTTTACTCTCCGCTATAAAGATGATGTTCTCTCACTAAATAATTCCAAATTTAGTGACTATGTTGAACGCATCTATCTCATTGAATGTGACCTACCGAATTGGAGTTGTTACCGGGTTTGTACTAACATGAGCAACAAGACGGGTGCCACATGTGGAGCAGGATCTGCTTATCCTTTTGGAGCACCTGAGATCACCGCCAGTTTTTTGTGGGGTTCGTGTTGTTTAGTCTTTAGTTTTCTATGTTGTGTTTTGTGTACTATTGTTTGTTTGTTTATCTTTTTCTTTTTTAGCCATGCTGTTGTCAGTTTATTTTCGACTTATGAGTTTGGATGTCCCTCTGGTATCTTTCACCTCTCTTTTATTGCCTTTAAATGATGTTTTTTACACTTTTTGCATTTTTTTCAGAAAACTATAGTTGATAGGTAGAATCTTTCATAGTAAAAATGTTTAATAAAATATGAACTACAAAAAGTGAATATGGATGAATTGTCAACTGAAGCCTTATAGGAGTTATTGCCTTTCAAAGACTAATTTGATTCAATTTTACGTTTTTTGTAGAAACCGTAATAGATTGTCAACTGAAGCCTTATAGGAGTTATTGCTGTTCAAAGACTAATTTGATTCAATTTAACGTTTTTTGTAGAAACTGTAATAGATATAGAGAAATAGTAAAAAGCAAAAGTTTCCAGCATAATAATTTCAATAAATAAGTCAACTTGGATGAAATTGTCAATTGACTGCTTAAAGGAGTTGTTGCCCTTGACAGATGGTTTTTGTCAGCCTGTGACTTCTGTCACAGAAAGCGAGACATAGGGATAGTGATCAGGCGGCGACAACAGTGGCTTTAACTTACTACTTTAAAGCTTAATATTTCAGAAGGTAGAAGACTTGCTTCATACTTTGTATATTGATCCCTTATGTTATGAAGTCTGTCATATGTCCATTGTCCTTGACCTCATTTTCATGGTTCATTGACTACTTGAAAAAAAAGGTTTGTAATCTTATTTTCTCTCTTATTATGAGTAATAGGACAACTATATTTGGTATGTGTGTACCTTGCAAGGTCCTCATGCCTGTCAGACAGTTTTCACTTGACCTCAACCTTATTTCATGGATCATTGAACAAGGTTAAGTTTTCGTGGTCCAGTCCATATCTCAGATACTATATGCAATAGGTCTACTTTATTTGGTGTATGGAAAGATTGTAGGGTGTACATGTCCAACTGCCAGGTGTCATCTGACCTTGACATCATTTTCATGGTTCAGTGGTTAAAGTAAAGTTTTTGTGTTTTGGCCTGTTTTTCTAATACTGTATGCTATAGGTCAACTATATTTGGTGTATGGAAATATTTTTTGATGTACATGTCAGTCTGGCAGGATTTATTTGACCTTGACCTCATTTTAATGGTTCATTGCTCAATGTTAAGTTTTGTGTTTTGGTCTGTTTTTCTTAAAGCATTTGCTACGAGATATATAAAAAATATTCAATTATTAATGAAAGTGAAATAGTGAAATAATAATTCGCTTTTAGCAGCCAGTCTAGTTCAATTTTATCAAAATAAGCTGAGAAATATCGCTGATGAATTATTCACTAGCAAGTGAATAATTCGACCTCATTTTATCCGTATTCATGTGACCTTTAATTTAACCCATTAGCTAGAGATTCAGTCATGTTCAGCCATTAAAAGGAAAAGAATGTCAACATTGAAAGCTTAAGTGAAACAAGGGAGAACCATTTCGTTGACTGAGTCGATCCACAAAAAGTCATTCTTATACAGGTAAAAACGATGATTAACTTATTCTTTTAACCTATAACATGAAATCAAACAGACATAGAAAAGTCCAATTGCACGAGGTTGCTATCTATTTATATTTATGTTTATGTTTATATGGGGTTATGTGACACGTCTAGACTAAAATACACACGAAATTCTGATATATATTATCGAGTTCATGCATTAGTAATTGTTTATTTCAGACTTATTGTAATTTGGATGTACGTTTAGTATGTTATAAATGAAATATGAGAATGTCAGTCAAATCAGTGAACATGAATTTGACAGCTAATGCCCCTTTAAATTATAAGCAAAAGGTCAACTATATTTGGTATATTGAATGATTAGAAGGTGTATATGTCTGGCTGGTAGTTATCATCTGACCTTGACATCAATTTCATGGTTCATTTGTCAATGTTAAGTATTCCTGGTTAGTTTGTTTCTTAGATACTAAATGCAATAGGTCAACTGTATTTAAAAAGCATGGAATGGTTGTAAGGTGTACATGTCTGTCTGGCAGGATTTATCTGACCTTGACCTCATTTTCATGGTTCATTGTTCAATATAAAGTTTTCATGGTTTGGTCTGTTTCTTGTATACTATAAGCAATAGGGCAAATATATTTGGTGTAAAGAATGATTGTAAGGTGTACATGTATTTCTGGCTTGGTTTATCTGACCTTCACCTCATTTTCTTTGATCATGGTAAGATTATGTGATACTTGTAGTAAAACTTTATATATAGGACTATCAACATAAAAATAATGGGCAGTAAAGCAGGTGAGACATTTCAGGGTGTGCACTCTTGTTATCCATTTTTTGCAGAAACTATTATAGATAGAGAAAAATTGTAAATAACAAAGATGTTAAACACAATATGATCTACAAATAAGTCAAACATTGCTGAAATTGTCAACTGACTCCTGTTTAGAGTTTTTGCCCTGAATAACTATTTTTACCCTTTTTATGATTTTTTTCAGAAACAAAGATAGATAGAAATTTTTACTTTGAAAGATAAATGCAAAGCTCTGATTTCTTGCCCGGCTTTGGCTATACTTTTTTTTTTTATCCTATTAGGTTTATAGCTCTTTATCTTTTTAATAAGCTTTGGATTTTCAAATAACTTGGCCTTGAGCATCACTGAATAGACATTGATTGTCAAAAATGTGCATCTGGTGCAGAAAGCTATTGGGATAGATATAAGAAGATGTGGTATGAGTGCCAATGAGACAACTTGTTATAGAACGAGAATAACAATATATAGCAAAAATGTTAAGCAAAATAAGATCTACAGATAGGTCAAAAACTCGGGATGACCACTCAGTGCATCGCTTTTGGTTCTGTTCTATTGGATGGTATTCATCTCCAGTAGGATAAAAACAGTAAATTAACAAAAACACCGAACTCCAAGGAAAATTCAAAACGGAAAGTCCCTTAACAAATGGCAAAATCAAAAGCTCAAACACATCAAACGAAAGGAAAAGAACTGTCATATTCCTGACTTTGTACAGGTATTTCCTTATGTAGAAAATAGTGTTACAGAAAGATCGATCCTGGGACA